AGCACATGTTGTTCTTCATATTGTGTTTATAGTTGAGAACTAGAGGCACGATTTACCCTAGTGATATTCAATTGTCTACACTTTGCCACCTCAAGTCAATAATACATAAAATATACTAAGTACAATATAACAGAGAGTTTGATAGTGGCAAACCATATAAGCACCAAGTACAATTTAATATATTACATGATCACACAAAATTAAGTAATTCAAGCTAGTAACACAAAAATAAAATATTAGTGAACTATGTCTTACATTGCAAAACTTTAACAACAATTTAAACTATTACATAGAATTAAAAAATGTCCTCCCCATTATGTTCATCTATGGGATCTTCTTCTACATGCTCATTTTTCATCTCTAGTGTGACCTCCATTCTTTCATCATCAACTTCACATCTAGCCTAATTTGAAGTACCATATATGTCATCAAATTCAACATAGATTTCTCCATTCCCTTGCTCTTTATATAAGGATGGTTCATCACTTATATCAAATATATCTCTAAGTTTTGTATGTGTGACAAGAACCTAACCATTATGTCTTTTATCCTTTACATAAAAAACTTTCTTAGCTTGTGATACCAAGATAAAAGGATCATGAACCAAATTAGTTTCATTATGAGCTAGATGTGAAAAATTCACAATAGTAAAATCAAATTTATCCTTCTTATAACCTCTATTTTTATCAATCCAATCATATTTAAATAATATAACTTTCATTCTACCAGTATAATTCAACTAAATGTTATCTTTTAAAATCTCATAATAGTTAACTTTTACCTCAATAAGTTATGCATCTTTTGTACTGGCATAACTCATCATTTTGGTTATTACAATAACCCTACTGTTTTGAGTTTTCAAGTATCTTTCATGTACCTTGGTATGAAATCTAAAACCATTAACAATATAACCAGTGTATTTTCTAACAGTATCAATTGGAATATGAACAAGCCATTTAAGTTAATCTGTGATATTTGCATCTCCTTGTTGATCCAAATTGACAACCTCTTTAATTTTATATTTGGTTAAAATAATAATCTAACTATAAAAACGTTAATTACATATTCCAAACCATGATGTGTGACTTACATGATCATGAAACCAATCATGAAAATTTCACTTTGTAACTTTTGTATCTCATATGGCGTAAACCATGGAGATTGATTATGCCTCTTAATAAATTGTTCATATTTTCTACATGAAAAAAATTCTTAGAAGACTATACAATATAAAAATTATTAAGTATAATACGCATGTAGATAAATGATCTTACTTTATAAAAGAAGCAACCTCAATAGAATTAAATAACTTTATAAAAGGAGCAACCTCAATAGAAGTAAATAGCACATATCGATGTACTTGAACCAAAGTTATAGCATCAAGTACAATTCATAAGACCCTTTTACGCTTGTTAACATTAAAGCCTTTACATTTTAATGTTCACAACGGTCTTCTTATAATAGAAAGAATGGATATTTCTTATTCTATAAAGAGATTCTTATTTTCATTTTGGATGGATCGATTAAAAACAGCTTTCATCCCATCAAAGTATCTTGAACAAAAAGTTATACATTCATTTGCTAAGCACATTTTCTGTAATTGAACCTTCAGGACAAGCTCTATTGTGCACATATGATTTAAGAGTAAGATGAAACCTATATAAATAGAAGTTCAATAAAAAAAAATCATTAGCAAATATCCTAGTTGAAATTTAAGTAAAAAAATCTATAACACTTTAAGATATTTCTTTCAATAGGATACATCCACTGATAAATGACTAGACTAGTAATTTTTGCTTCATTTGTCAAATGGATAGTTAAATTTACCATTATTATGAAAAAAGATATGGAGAAAAAATCTTCTCATTTTCACATAAAATTGATGTAGCTCGAGACTTAAGTAATTCAAGTTTATGTTCTTCGAGAATTTTAGAACAAGTTTTTTAAAAAAGGTACACAAATCAATAAAAACTAAGCACATCTTATTAGGTAAAGACCATCGTATTGTTATAGGAAGAAACTCTTGCATTAAGAGATGACAATCATAACTTGTGAGCCCTATTAGCTTTGGTTGTTTAAGTTGCACATAACATGAGAAATTTAAAGAGTATTCATCTAGAGTTTTCATTTCTTTGAGAATCTTTAAAAAAAATTTTTTTTCAATTAAGCTCATTTGATATAAAGCTTGAGACAAGTATTAGGTGTTAATGCTTGGATGAGTCTCTGGATGAAGAACACTTCTTATACCTATATCTACAAGGTCAAGTCACGCTTTGTAGTTATCTTTTGACTTTTCTTCTTGCTCAATCAATGTACCAAGAATGTTACACAAACATTCTTTTTTATATGCATCGCATCAAGATTGTGACGCAATAGAAGATGTTCCCAATAAGGTAATGTGAACAAAATAATTTTCTTCTTTCATGGCCTATCTTCATTACCATTCCATTGTTCCAGCTATCTCAACACTTCACTCTCAAATAGTGGTGAAAGAGCACTTTTAAATTCTCAAATCCAATCAAATACGTTTTTATCATTCCGAAACCTATGATTAGGTTGCAACCACCTACGATGGCACATGTAATAATACTTTTTATCATGTTGTAATCACTTGATGCAGTATCAAATCCATAGCAAGGATATACATACTCTTATCTAGTACTTCTCCCAAATAAATTGGTGTATGCAGGGAAGTCGTTAATGGTCTAAATTAATGCTGCACGCAGTTGAAAGTTTTAATTTTTTAAGGCATCAAAAGTTTGAACACCAACTTCCCAAGGTTCCTATAACTCTTTTATCAAAGGTTGTAGGTATATATCTATATTGTTTCCAAGACCTTTTGGACTAGGAATAAAGTAGAAAAAGAATAAAGTTTGGTTATTTCATGCATATCTATAGAAGCAAGTTATAAGGTATTAATATAATAAGTCAAGTGCTATGTGTCACACTTATAGTTTTAAAAGGGTTAAAGCCATCAGAAGCTAATCCCAAGCAAATATTACAAGGGTAAAAAAAAAAACTCAGGATATCAAAAATCTAATTCTTTCCATGCTAGAGAATCTGCAGGATGTCTTATATGTCCATCCTTAATGTGCTCATATTCATGCTAAGTCATCAAGGGAGCAGTTTTTGAAGATATGAATAACCTTTGTAGTATTGGAATTAAAGAAAATCAACGTATAATCTTAGCAACTATTTTTTTGCACTATATCATAGGGATCGTTTTCTATATCATTCAAACTCTCTTTCCACCTAGAAACGTCACATTTTGAACATATTTCTTCATTTGCCTTATCCTTTTAAAACAACATGCAATCATTAGGACAAGCATGAATTTTTTATATCCTAAACTTAAAGTAGAAATCATCTTTTTCAATTCTTGATAAGACCTTGGTAATGTATTACCCTCGGCAGAGCAAGTTTCAAAACCTCTAACAATGTATTGAAAGATTTATTTGTCTAACCATTAAAACACTTAATGTGGAACAAATAGATTACAAAAGATTTATTTGCTTTGATTCCTTAACTTTGGTTTTTTTTTTTTTGACTTTATCCCTTTTGATTCTTGAACAAGGGTTTAAATAACATGATGAAGATAGAATTTCAATTAAAAAAAAAAAACTGAGCATCCTATCCCCTATAATGTGAATTTTGAGTTAAAAAAATAAATTTTCAAAAATTTAATCAAATACTCCAAATTTCAAACACATAACCTTATCACTTGATTTATTTTTATTTTATTCTTTTTATTTATTTTCCTACAAAATACTAATAAAAATAAAATAATTACAAATGGCCTTATCTAATCCAAATGCTAAATTCAAATCTAAAGAGGTTAAGTCCAAAATCGAATTCAAACTAACAAAAGCCTTCAAATAATCTCGAATAAAATAAGATGTTTACATAATAGTCCAAAAAATCTCAAATAAAATAAGGTGCTTACATAAGTGTTGATGAAAGTATTTATAAATATCAATTCTGTGTTTAAAATATCCCTTCACGAATGAACATCTCATTGATGAAGCATCTTTATTTTTAAAATGAAATATCACGTTCAACAAAATTTTTAATTTTAAAAAATAGCAGTTAGACTGTTAGAAAGAGAGATTGTGCAAAGCATTTTTTTTATGCCATGGGAACACTAAGGTAAGAAAATTACCGACAATGCTTATTTTTTTTCTCAAAATCTGATCCGATAGTTGATGAGCAAAATGTAATTAATAAGATAGCCAGTTGCTCTTACTTTTTTCTTTTTTTTCAATTTAAAGGCTTATTTTCACCTTTCAACACATTTAAATTTTATGTAATTACAGTATTTCTAACCTTTTTGTCTTTTACAAAAAAAATACTTTGAAACATTTTAAAAAACATTCATTTCTAATATATAAAACAAGAAATTCATCTATTATTGCTCTCTATTGATTCATTGTTATGAGTAGCTGTGGTAGTCCTGTTTCCTAGCGCAGTTTGCAGGCCAAAATGTCTGATCCTTTACAGAAAACCTTAGCTAGCTAGCAAATTCAAAATATCAGCAATGACGACAGTTAAAAATCTGCATTGATGGCAGTAATTGCAGCAGGTGAGAGGGTTTCATGCTCCGGTCACATATATCTTGATCTTAAGTTCAAACAACATATGTTGGTCCATTATACACATTTAGAAATTATATATTCTACTTGAAAAAAATAAAGCTCGCTATTCTTGTTGCTTGAGGCAAATAAAGCAAAATTCGTCTCTTCAAAATTTCCAGTGAGTGGAGATATCGACAGTTGTTGTGATGTCATGTCACCATGCATTGCATTCTTGATTAGATCAGCTTAATTTGAAGCGTTGTCTTTGCCAATTAGATAATGCCTTCAAGGGGTGCTACAGGTGAATATTGGCATGAAATCTGAATCTTCCAATATTCCATGCATTCTGGCTACATTCCGGATGGCCCATACATACACACACACACACACACACACACACACACTCATATATATATATATATATATGATCTACCATATATTTTCAGAGCGCCTAATAGCAGTAGTTGAATTTTGATGTAAAAGGTCCTCTTCTTGATTGCTATTCTGATCTAGAATGATCCTCGACTCTACTATATGTTGTTGTACCACTAGGATTGAAACCTTCCCTTTGAAATCCTGGGATGCCAACAAGTCCCCTATCAATCCCAATTCTGGGTACTCTTTCCAATCCGATAATCCAAGTAGGAGTGGCGACTCCGTTCGCCTTCCTACCAATATCAAATCAAATTCGTTCTCTATTGAACGAAAGAAGTGACATGCTTCTGCACTGTCCGTCAAAATCTCCTCTTTGTACACAGCTCTGTTTCCCGTCGCATTTGTTTGCCTAAAATTACTGATAGTTACACTATCTAGCCTCTTCTCCTCATTATTATTATCAACAATCTCCAAGAAAGCAATAAGTCTCATTACGGTCACCGTTACACGTGGATTTTTTGCCATACGTGTTGCATATGACACTGCTTCACGATCATCAGGTCCTCCAATGAAGAATACACCGACGCGATAAAGGGACCAAGATCCTTGAACAGATCTTGGGCCTCCTTTACTGCCTCGATCAATAAGAATTCCAACAGAGCAAGGGGCTGTATCTATTACCTTGAGATTGACACTGCGAAGTTCCGGTGATTCTGTCGCTATGTCACTACCTGTCCATTTTATATGGAATGGGATGATTATGAGACGTGTCCTCTTATCAACCGACAACATGCAAACATCATTGTGCATGGTTGCCCGAGGAGAAATTGCAGTGAAGACTTGGAAGGTTACAAGTGAATTATTATTTCGTTCAAAGATTCTGAAGGCATTGATGATATTTTCACTTGGCTTGCAAACCGAGTTCGCATGTTTGCGGTGATGTTGATGGTGATCATGAGGATAATGTGCTCCCAGGGATTGGTGAACAAACAAAGGTGAAACCCTGCCAACGAGCTCGATAAGGTGAAGAACATAGATGCATATCGGACTTTCTCTTGTAGGATTGGAGGCCTCGAGGAGGTCGATGATGCTGGGGACGTATTCTTGACTGTGAATACAGGCCAGGATTCGAAACTCTACATTGTTGGGAAAGTGTTGTATTGTATGTCTCTCATGAGCAATGTACCTTGCAAAAGGATCATAAAGTGCTTTCACCACGAATGAGATGAATCCTACTATTATCATGCCTGATGTGATCAGAACACCGAAACATCGGTAATCAATTAGCTGCATTCAAAACACAATTAATGCTATAATAACGTTGTTCTTATATGTATTTGTACATGTAAAGAAACTTAATAATTTGAAGTGATTTTTTGGTCAAATTTTCATACCCCATACTCAATACCTCGGCGATAATATTGGATATCCAAAACTCCTACTGCGCTCAACATGAGGCCAAGAATAATAGCGTCTTTGAGAGCAAAGTCGCAGAGGAAGACAGAAACCAAGGTGACTCCAAGAAATTTAGCTGAGAAACTAAGGACCGCTAAAAACTGAACTGCAAAGTAAGCACTAGAACTTATGCTGCGCAAGTCCGTAAACAGACCACAAGAAAGAAAGTAGAGCGGCACTATTATGAAGGTAACAAAGGCCTCAACCTTTTCCATGAGGCTAGCTGCTAAAGCGGATCCATCCGGTAATACCAAGCCCAACAATGCAGGTCCAGTTAAGGCATGTATGCCAACTACATCACCAGCGAATGCAGTTCCCAATACCAATAGGACGATGAAACCCAGATAGGATTCTTTAACACGTTCTCTTTCTGGAGTTCGTTTGATTATCCAAATCAGTAGGTAACGGAGAGGACAAAGAATGAAAATTATCAGGCAGATTGCGGAGACAGTTCTTCTATACCCGCCTTGAGTCAAGTTTGTTTTCGACCTAGCAATACGAATACCCATTGCAACATAACTTATAGCCCCGCTAACCATAGACGAGGGCAGGGCGATGCGACCAAGTTCGGAATTAAGGAGTTTAAGATCGTCGAGAAAGCAAGCAATGCTATGAAATGTGGATGAAGAAGCCAGAAACGAGACATTTACTAACATGCTTTGCAATTCGTGGTCTATGCCAAGATTTCGTTTTAGAAAGAAACAAGCAGGAATGCCCGCTAATATGGGGAATATGAAAGCTGAGACGCCTATCTTCCATTCTTTTTCTCCTGTACGTTTTATCAGGCTTACATCCGTTTTTACTCCCACAAGGAATACGTACAATATGCATCCAAAAGAGGCAAACGTCTCAAGTATATATAGGCTCTTAAATGGAAGCGTTACTTCTAGGTTGTGTCCAAGACCTGATGGGCCTCCCATAATGCCACCCTGCGATCAACAAATAACGGACCAGCTATAATAATTTCCTTTTTCTTTTCTTTCCAACAGAAAATTCGGTAACCACATCTGCATTTGTCTAGAAATTTAATGATCAAGGTTAAATGCAAAACTAAAGAGGGAGCTTACCATGATCTGACCGACAATGCTAGCCTGGACAAAAGGCTTGAGAAGAAACTTGCAGGCAGTAGTGAGAGAGGAAGCTAAGGTAAGCTGCAACAGGAAAGCCGATGCCCACATCCTTCTATCATGTAAATAACTGAGGGTAATGCAGATAGCTGACACATTTTTTGCCGGCAACCCAAATGTAAAGGCTTGAGTCGCATTGATGGGTGTAGTCAATGTTAACAGCTCTACTCGGGGGTCATAATAAGACAAATTCATTAATTCTTGGCTTGCAGTTAGTAGAAAGCTACAGGAGATAAACAGGATAGGATAGAATAGGATCGGATATATTTATCAGAATTGATTAAGCAGAGAAAAGGGAGAAACCATGCATGGCGCAAGTAAATATTTTTCAGGAGAATCTACGGTGAGTTTGGTGGTTGTTCAACTGCCTTTTCATCGTCATGGACAAGAGAAATAAGCGGCCTCTTGCACGTTTCTCTTTTTTCCTAAATTTGACCAAATGACCGTGAATCCAGCATCATTCAATAATAAATTAGAGGCCTTAGATCTCAAAATGGTTGGATATTCTCTTTGTCTTGCATTTGGTACATGTCGGATACTCACTCTCTCTTGATGTTGTTGATAATTAAAACAACCAATCTCAAACGCCGCACATAATGAAAAGAATATTCGCAATCATTGGTTAATTTCAATGAAGAGATGAGAATTATATCCTCCATATATAGAAAGTTTTTCATGATTTTGTCGAAGGCAGTATCTTAGTTGACAACCTTTGATTAAGTTGTCTACAAAATTCCAAATGACATAAAGCCCGCTTTAAAAGTTTCCTTAAATAAGAAAACAGTGCTAGAAAAACTGGACTGAAACAAAACTTTTTCTGAACATGAGGTGGAGTGGATATGGATATGTAACATCAAATCCATAGAAAATCCCCATATCATCTATATATAAAAAAATAAATAAATAAATTCTTAGATTTACACCAGTTCAACTGCGTGCGTCGTTTTTATTTGGTTTAAACAAGTTTGATCTTAATCCATTGTCTCGCGGGCTTGCTGTTGAACCGCATCTAATGGAATTTTGGGAACAATATTATGTATATCGGATGATGTTGATTTGCTGGAGTTGATATCAGTGGAATTGAAGTCACTCTCAGGTTTCAAGTCAAATGGAAAGGGTGCTTCAGATGCAACATCCTCACAGGAATTAATACATGCAACATTAATGAATGGCCCGCACTAACTTGGGTTAGCCCAGGTCGATCTATATATTGTGCTAGAATAGAAGAGTGTGGAGCTGGTTGGAAGTAATTTTACGATTGGAGAATTTTGTTAATGACTTTCTTCAGAGTTCAGAGATGGGAGAAGTAAAATGATCCCCAATTTTAATTTTATACTAGAAGAAAGAAAAATCATAATTCCCAGAGCACAATTGGGTATAGGAAACCTCCAAAATCCACTCATATCGTGTACAAGATCATCAGACTAAAGTGATAAGAGTTTCCGTTCAATTTTTCATCAAATTCAGACTATTATAAATGGAAGTCGAAGCCCTCCATAATATTAACTTCAAACACATTGAATAATTTTATAAAATTCGCAATGCCGCCAATACCAGCAAAACCCCATTCTCAAGTTTTGAAACTCATTTAGCTTCGGTTCCTCCAAAATCCTTGGATGTTTTCCTCCTACTCAAACTGCCTAGCCGAGAAGGCTTCATATAAGCATTTACTCTATTTAATTCATCAAGGGCCTTTGGGTCCACGGTAATATCGCAATTTATAACAGTTTCTCCTTCTTCAGTTTTCTTGCCTTTCGAAATGTTAGAATCTGCAATGTCTAGATGACTTCCTCTGTGTTTGCTCATGTCAGACAAGGATCTTGATAATGATGGTCGCTTCTTCAGGAACAAGCATACGACTGCACAATCATCTATCTTGGAACCTGGATACTTAGTTCTCCATGCTTGAACAGCATAATAAACCAAAATTTTAGCTGCCATGGATTGTTTTTTTACTGAAGCAACTATTCGTATGACCTCATTGTTTGTTAGCACATCCCATACCTGCAAAATTTGATGTCAAACTTTCAGAAGTTCTTGTAAGCTAGAAGTCAAGCAACAGGCTACATCCTTAACTGATTTTTGTTTATGGGGGTGGGAGGGAGGGAGGGGATAATCAGATTTATTCAACAAACAGTTGTATTAAGCTTCTCCATACAATCTTATGCGTGCTAGAAGGATAGTTTCTTTAGAACAAAACTGTCATTTTCAACCATTAATTTACCGGTCATAGAATCTTATGCTTTTTATACCTAAAGTCCATCTAAGAATCAAATAATACTAACAACAAATTTAATATTGTTCTAACAGAAGATATTTGTCAAAACTTGCTTTCTTACCCCATCAGTTGCCAACACTACAAATTCATCTTTGCTTGTAAGCCTTCTATAAGAAACTTCAGGAATTGAGCTAAGACCATGATGCTTCAGGCAGAAATCCCCGAAAGCCCTTGCCATGGCTAAACCAGGGCAATTTTGTTTGGGCATCCATACTCTTGGTACATTTGGTTCTTCATCCATTGCGAAGACCCTGCCACCGCACCTAAGGATTCTTTCAGCTTCACCTAAGTAACACCAGAGGAAACACACACAAAGAGAGAAAGGAAATATCACTTAGATGTATGGTTTGATAGGCTATGTGAATAGAATAGAATAGAAAACACCCACTTGGTATACTAGGTTTCAAGTCAACTGTGAGTTGGATAGGAACGAGTTGGTTTTCGTTGTCTCTGGTGCAAAGAATCGCACGAGAATCCCCCAAGTTTGAAATTATCAAGTGTTCATCCTGAAATGTTTTAGGGAAAAAAAATCAGGAAACTACTTCACTATATTAACAGTATCTACTATCTACCAAGAAGTTCTTTCATGCTAGCTGGAGTTCACAGTATACCTGCTTAATAATAGTTACAGCTGTCGTACCACTGCAGTAACTATCAAGAGACTCTTCCAAACAAAGATCTTCATCCGACTCTTCGAAAGCTTTAATTAAACTTGCCTCCCAAGAAGAAAAGATCTCTTTATGACTGCTCTCTTCCTGGTCACTCTCTTTGTTAATACCACTGCTATCATCTTTACCAGAACTTTTTCCAGCAGCAACACCTTTGCAGCCATTAGGTTGTGACATTGAGATGACTGAAGAAAGCTTGAATGGCAAGGTATCACACACATAACGTGCAACCTGGTGACCTGATGGGCCATGACCATCAAATACACCACAGAAGAACACATTCTTCTTACCCATAAAGTTCTGGATCAATTTTAAATGTTTAGTTTCGTGCATTGAATAATTAACCCATTATTTTCAGACTAAAACCCTGATAAATATCAAATTTGGTGATACACAGCACTGCCAAAGAAATGAAACATGTGTAGGTAGGTGATTCAGAAGGAATATGCTTGATCTGGCCTAGAAAAATAATATACTAGTTTGTTTTCAAACCAAAGTTTATAAATTCGGCTCCCACCAGAAAGGAGTCTTCCTCCATTCAATACGCCATTGACAATCTGGCATCAAATTCTTCTCTAGTCCTCAATCCTTCAGAACTGATAGACTAATATCTAAGGTGAACCATTATGATTCACCTGATAATTTAATTTTTCCAAAAAATGTTGGTCTTGGCCGGAGCAAGGTGTTTTATACAAACTATCAAGATATAAGCACCTGAATTTTAGATTAATCAATAGATAAGGAAATATTAAATATTTAGGAAATGAAGAAACGATGATTAATTAATTCCATTATATAACATGACAGCTTCAACAACAACAATAACAAGAGCAAACAGAAAGAAAGAATCTAACATAAACAGGGACAAACAGTCACGCAAACAAAATAATGACAGGTCAAGAAATTTTCTAACAACGTCTGACGAAAATTATGCAACACTTTCAGAAAGAAGATGCAATCAAGTGTTTGCAAAACAGGGCATGCATCAAACAAAGGAGAAGATCACTAAACGTGTAAATAGATACCAAATTTAATATTAAAATGGAAATTCTGAAATCATCAGAACCTTAATATACATTGCAAAAGCAGAAGAAAACCATATATGACCCCATGAATCCTTTGATAAAATTATTTTTTATTAGCCATTATCACGATCTGAAGGACTTTGAAACATACGAAAAGGAATATATTGTAACAGATAAAAACAAGAAAAGATATTAAAATTGCCAAACTGTTTGATATTGAAGTGTGAATCAGGCAGTAGGAAAGTCACCTCCCAGACGGTCATGGCGTCCTGATTGATCCCTTTTTTCCCTTTGCGGGTGTACATTGATGTGTAGGAAGAGGATCCTTGCAATCTCACAATGGCCCCACCATGCCCAATAGTCGTAAGATCCTCCTGTTGGCCCTCCTCTTCTTTCTCGTCCAAATCGTCTTCGTCATGGCGTCTACCTTTGTACTTGACTTGTGTACTACAGCAGGCACCCATGTTCAAAGGAAAAAAAAAGATAAAAAGGCAGCACCAATGTACCCCACCAAGAGGCTATGGATGGCCGGAAATTTTCCGGGAAAATCAAGCCCCAAAATGGAGAAGAAATGGTGCAGGAGGGGACCCAAGAGGCTCAAAATTCAAATGCATGGAGAGGCAGAGGAGGAGAACTCAAGGCCATAATTCTAGTCTATTATTATATAAAAGGGCTACTTCAAGAAAAAAAAAAACAAAAAAACAGCTTTTCTTTATTTAGAGAAGAGTGTGCGAGGGGTGAACCAGTCATTGCTTACGACACCAGGATTGATCGATTTACTATAAGTATAGGAAAATGCAACTAACCATTATGGAATTTTAAGAATAAAAAACGGCGAGCTCCTCGTATCTGTCTGTCTCCTTTGAAATTTCAGTTTCCTTCCCATTTTTGTTCTCCACGTTAAACACTCTTCCATGCACAGCTCTTTTCGCTTAACTTGCTTAATGACTTAATAACCCTCCATCTCCATTTATATCTTTTTCTTTTGTTTTTTATTTTTAGTTTTAATTGAATATTATAAAAAAAATATTATTAGTAAGTTAAAAAATAGGTAATCTTGTCTTGGGTAAAATGAAGAGTTTTCATGCAACCAAAAGAAGCAGCAATAAAATCTGCTATGAAAACAAAACAAGGGTTCCACATCATTTAACTCAAAGCCTTATTTCACTACGCCTTGGCTATTTTATAAATATATATATATATATATGCTGATTACTTTGAATAAGTAATACAAATCTTTCATACTTTTTTTATTTTTTTAAGCTTACAAGTCTCCACTAATGTGACTTTCTGTCTTCTAATAGCAAAAATGGATGAAAATTTCTTACCATTCAAAGTTCACAGCTCTGCTTCATGTACCCATGTACTTCGTCTTTGATTGTACCTTTCTTGCATCTAACTTTTACAACAAAAAATGGATCAAATGTGCCCATGTACTTTTCCTTCAAAAGTAAAAATTATGCTGAAATAATGTAACGCTGCATACCAAAACTAAAAGAGACATTAAAGCATTATAGAAGGGGGCTTGAATTGATGAAAAGGGGGGGGGGGGGGGGGGGAGGTAGCTTCGAAGATGTTCAAGCAATCTCCATAAATATATATATATATATATATCTTCTCCAACTACAAACTATTTTGTGCTACTCATGGAGTATGCTACAACCTACATGTTTCCTGGAGAATCTGCATATAACAGTTTGTGAGGGAGCCGAGTAGAGATGAATGATTAAAAAAAGGTCAAACTTCTGGTCAGCAATCAAAACTTTTAATGCAAACTACAGCTCTCGATGGATGCCACTAGTCAGTAATCAACTGCCAGCTTCTACAGGTATTTAAATAGCATAAACTCATAAAATAAAATCAGACACGTATCATGCTTCTAGATATTTGTCAGATAGAGATTCTGTCTAAAACGAGCTGTATGAAATCTTGGATCGGAAATAATTACATGCTAAAAATGCAGAGAAAACTGTCAATCATTCAATTGACATGATATTAAATTGATATTTAAAAATTATAAATTTAAAAAAATTTATTTATGTAATATTTTTTTATAAAGTAAGTAGTAAAGTAAAAAATTTTAAGAGTAAATTAAAAATAAGAAATAAAAATACAGCAAACTGTTATATTTATTCTTTGCAGGTCTAAATGTTCAAACAAAAACATAACGAGGAACAATGAAGCAAGCAGCTACATCTTTTTATAAATTTAAATTATTAAAAGTGATTAAATAAATAAATTTATTTTAATAATTTACTTACCAATAAATTAATTTATTTATCAATAAAAATATTTTGAATTTAATAAGTTAATTATATTTTATTATAAATAAATAAAATATTATTCATATTTTATAAATTATTATATTTAATAAAATTAAAATCTTTAATTTATGTAATTATTATAATATATACGAATAATTGATATTTTAAATAAAACAATATTTAATTTTTAATAATTAAATATTATTAAATTTGATATTACTAAAAATTTTAATTATTAAAAATTAATGATTACATGATTACGAAACATACCACCCAACTCAAGACTTCCCTGGCTTCAAAGGCAGGACAAGGGTGAGCTGTCAGTTGCGGGAACAACGTTTCTCAATCCCCGCTTTCTTTCTGTTCCGCCAAAGTTCTCCACTTTTCTCTTTTTTCCTTTCATCCTTCTCATTTAATTTTACCAACAATAATTCAAAATCTCAGGTTCCTAAATTCGGTTCCCATATGTCGGACCACGATGCACCAACCAAGAATAATCAAGCGAGATCGCCGGTGACCATTGCTACACCACTACCAACGTGGAGAACCCAACACTGGGAGTGGGGTTCGGTGTCTCGGCGATTACTAGGCGATGGAAAAGGGAAGATTTGTTGAAGAGAGGGTACCTGATCGCCGGAGGATTGGCTCTGCTGTTCTCTTTGCTTTCTTCAATAATCATGGCTAGCACCAAACACGGTAAGTGGAAAATTTTTGACTAGTATGAAGAATACAGGTAATAGAAAATCCAATCATATCAAATTGGAAATTAGAGTTTAATTTGATTTTGGGTTGTTAAAATTTTGGGTTTTTTTTGTTCTTTTGGCAGGTATTTATTGGCAATTGCAATTCTGTCGACTTTGTACACAGGAGTACAAGCGTTGAGACACGTGAATGAGAGTTGGAAAGGGCAACATATAGCTGAACAACGTATATCTGCCGTGGTGGACTTTTTGGGGGATCAGGTTGGTTTTTCCATAACTTTCGTAAACTTCTCTCTCTCTGTCTAAAAAAACTTGTGTTTGGTTGCTCCTTGCTACGAATCGACGGGAAAAAGAACAGATAGAATTATTGTATTCCACGTCAGTTTCCGGCTCTCAAAAGTGAGAAAATGTTTGCAAATGATAATCATTTTTATTACACTTGAAGTGCTGCTATATATGATGGATACTTGATGATTGTAAAGTAGTGAGTAGAATCACAAAATAAAAGGGATACGAAGTGCTCAAATTGGGATGAAGGAATAGGATTAATGCTTCTGTCTGAGTCATAAGGAGGTCTAGACAGTCTCTGTACGGCATGAAATTTAAACTAGGATTGATTTGCCTTCTGTAAGCCTCTTTCTTTCCCGGTTCTTTCCTATTAATTTGTTCAGTTGGAGCCTTGGAAGGCTGCTAAAAACTAATCTGGAACGTGTTTTTAAAAGTTAAAGTACAGTCTCAGTCAACAGGGCACGTCTGATTTGAAAATTTCCAATTTAACCAAAATGGTGATGCCTTTGCCAACTAAGCCAGCTGCAAATTTCAGGCAACAGTACCATTTAGGTTCCTTAACCCAACAAGAGCAGAATGGATCGATTCCATGTCCTCTTAATTTGGTGTGGAAATGAATATTTGTTACCAAGCTTTTTTTTTTTTTTTTGCAGTATACATTGCATAAATCCAACCGTTAAAAAGTAGTATATTTGGAAAGGATTTTGAAATAGTTTAAGTTGCAGGTAGTGGCATACCTGTTGATATCAGCAACATCGTCTGCAATTCCATTGACAAACAGGATTAGAGAGAGGGGCAAGACAACATTTTCTCCAATTCCTCAGCTTTGGCTATTAGCATGTCTTTCTTTGCGTTTCTATCACTGGCTTTATCAGCCATGGTTTCAGGCTATAAATTTTCAACTCAATCATACATCTAATTTTGGCTTTTAGCTTTTTATCCTTTTTTTTTTTTTTTCACTATCTACCTTAACTCATTCTTTGTGTATTTGTCATTCATTTGTCCTGTATGCGATATATCATTTGTACATTTGTGTGGAGCAGCAATATGTTTGTTTTTTCCCGGTGCAGAGCAGTGTTCATAGCTCTCTTTTTTCCCCTCAGACTGCCTTTCTTCCTGTCGCTTAAAGTTCTTCTAATCGAATGATTGTGGATTGAGATATGCATGATCAATAGACAAGGTAGTCATTCACTTTTGGCCAAATTGGAGCACAACAAACAGTCAATAGAAAATGAAAAGAGAATTATATGGTAGTTACTCTCAAAGAAGAATGCTCTTTTTTTCTTTTGTGGGGGAGGGGAAGAGCGAAGAGGGAAAGGAGTTTATCTTGAACCATTAGCTATGACTGAGGAACTGAGACAAACTTATATGTAGCGTGATAGATGAATTTTAACTACAATATTTGACTGAACTCCATTTCTGCCTCCACCTATCATTAATGCTTAGCCACTTCATTCCGAAGCCAATGATTCAAATAAACAATTCCCCTCCAATAGCTCCACTCTTATGACTCAGCATCTTCTGCCTTACCTTCACATTTCTATTCATCCACAGTTGCATCATCCTTTTTAATGAGAAAAACCTCTTTGTAAATCACTCTCGCTCTTTCATTGTCTTGGCAAAACTGCTGCTATTTTCTACACAATTTGGTTTGTCTTATGCACTCAATCTGCCATACATCACTCTCCATCTCGAGCTTCATAACAGACATATCAGCCATACAATTATTTTAATATCATCCTCGGAATGCCTTTTTTCTCTTTTCTCAATTGTTAATTCTTGTTATTTTTAGAGATTGCAGTTCACATTTGACTCATTCAATTGAAAACCAATTTGAAATTTAATGCTAAACATGTATAATCTTTTCCCTGACCAAGTCAATTATTGCGTCCAATTTCTGTACCAGAGGAAAACGCAGTGACATCCATTTTCCTTGCTTGTTCAAATCCAAATTTTTCTGCCAAGTAATGCAAAAATCCTCATCAACAACATCAATTACACTTTCATAATCACAGTTTAGAGGCAAAAATAATTGAAACTTTTCTTCTCCACGCAGCTTCAGTAAATTATCATCTGATTCTAATAACCATTAACAAGCAAACCTTGGACTAAATAACATACATACATACATACATATATATATATATATTTACACATTCTCCAGTTCTATGTAAAGTTCCATGTAAATGCGACTATGCAAGGCATAGAGCCACAAAGCTCAATTGTATCGTCATCAAAGCCCAACACTTTGAAAATCCATCAACATTGGCACCTGAAGAAACCTTGCTTAACTTTTAATTTGTTGGCAATAGTTGTTGACTTACTCGACTGAAGAGATCTTCAAGAATCTGAAAGTGTATCTATACAGCACATGAAGGCTAATGCTTTGCCCACAACCCAATATCTTCATTGATTCCCCGAGTCCATGCCTAGAAGCTGCATTTGTCGATAATAGCTGCTAACTCCTGACCTACAAGGTCTTCAACAGAATCTATGGCATTGGATCTTCCAACTGTAATTTCCAACACTTAGGATCTAATTCCACCTGTCAATTGCATAATTGAATCACTTAAGTCTATCGCACAACCATTATTCAAACCTTGTTTCTCTTAGTTTCTGACTTAGTAGTTAGTAAAAGCATGTTGTTCATTGAAAGATTGTACAAGTTCCACCACACCCCCCCCCCCCCCCCAAAAAAAAAAAGAAAAAATTCAAAACAGACGTATAGTTGCTTATAATCATCTTGCAACTTCTGTACTATTTTTCAAAATGAAAAATTATTTTTGCTCTGTTCCAAAAATATGTGTACATGACATTTGAAATGTATAGCAACTATGTGTATCTTCTGTTCCAAATGACGTTTGAAATGTCACATGTTAAAATCAAGGCACTTTTGTTGCAACAAATTTTGTAACAAAAATCATACACCTTACCTGAAGAACTTTATCTCTCCACTGAAATATGCAACCACGAGCTTCCAAATGTTCAACAAGTCGGTGGGGTAAGAGCCATCTGAATGCTGCCTGAAGTTTCACTTTTGTTAATCCTCCACATGCCAGCAAGGCAGATGCTAGTCCACGGGTAGTCAAGCCCTTTAAGTGCAAGATTGTTACATTCTGTAGGCAGCTGATGCTGGCCAGTGATAACAGTCCTATGTCCGTAACTGAGCTATGGGACAAGTTAATCTGCAAAGAAAAGAATGAATAAGATAGTGGGGAATGTCTACTTTCCTTTTGCAGGCAAAGTTCCAAGCAAAGGAGAGGGCAGCATACCTGTTTAAGGTTTTGAGAAAAATGAGCAAGTGGAAGCATTCCAGCATCATCAATGTTCTGACACTTCTTTATGTCTAGCTTGGTAAGCTCCTTGCATCCCACAGCAATGGCTGTTAGTCCTAAAGATGTTATCAGAGAACACCCTCGACTTTCAAGTGTCTTTAACCGAGAGCACTTGGATAAAGATAGCAACGAAAAATCAGTAATATCTTTACAGTAGGCTATGTTAATCATTTCAAGATCAAGGCAACCTTGTGCAATTGCTAAAATACCGCAATCTGTTATTTCTGCAGACCTGAAAACAGAAGCCATGTTCAGATAATCATGAATTGTTTCCCTCGTTGCATCAATAATAAATCAGTTCATATGTATTAAGGATTCGCTTGAGACAAAACCAAAAATTCCAAGACCAAAACATATGTGACAGATTATCCCTAATAAACTAAAGGGAAGTTCAAAAAAAAGACAAAAGGAATCCTTAATGGGGCTCAAACAGCTAACCTGTACAGATCAAGCTCTATAAGTTTTGAGCAGCCCCTGCTGATATGGATGAGTCCCTCATCTGTTACATTAAGGCAAATTCCTAGTTTTAAGTTGGATAGTTTGGAACATCTGGAGATGTATTTCAGACCTGCAAAGAGAAGAGATCTTAAGTGCATCAAATAACATCATAGTTTTAACTATACCAGAAAAAGAAGAAGAAAAAACAAAAAACCTTTATCGTCAATTTCATTATCTGTAAGGTCAAGCTCTTCAAGCAAATGGCACTGCTGCCCGATCAAAACAAAGGCATCTCTGGAAACCAGGGTACATGACTCCATCCTGAGAGAAGTCAGAGATTTGCATGATTTTGTGATTTGGGCAATAGAGACATCAGTTATCTTGCGGCAACATGTAATGTCTAGCTTCCTTAAGTCTTTGTGTTTTGTTACAACTGATGAGAGGCCTTCATCTGTCACTCCTGAACATTTACTTAAGCTCAGATCCCTTAGCGACACACACCAATTTCCAATGGTTTTCAACCCATCATAGGTAATCAGACAACCATCCAATTTAATAGATTGCAACAGGGAAAGCTTTTTCAAACAATCAGCAAGAGAAGAAGTTACCTGAAGCATCACCCAACGCTACATTATAAGTACAAAAGAGTAGGAGAGAAACACTCTCAAATAGGAAATTGTTTGGGAGGGGAAGAAATGACCATATAGAAAGACTTACAGGAGAACCATGGGCTAAGGTGAGTTGCTGCAGACCTTCAGCACCACTTATTAGGGAAGACAAGCCATCGTAACTGAGATTCTGACAGGTCGATACATCAAGACTCTGATAAAGGAAAAATAAGTTGATTTTTGTCAATTAAATATTTCAATAAAAACAATTTTATGCTTTTGATCAGTACGATATAGTGCCTTCAGATCCAAACTAGGTGTGGCATGCAACAAATTCAGTAAACCAACTATCAAATTCAGCACCCCAATTATGCACTGCAACAATAAGATGCATATGGACCCACAAAAAAAGTGCAGGAATACTAAAAATAATATCAGACTTCAGCTGAACCACGTTTCAAGATGACAGAAGTATAGATTAGGTGAATGATAACTGAGACCCAGGATTGAACAGAAGGAACAATTCCCAGTCCTCCGATATGACAAATGTACCAGTAAAATCCAATAATTTTTAACAAAAATCCTAGGTGAGATAATTAAAGGAAACCCTAAAATTAGCCAACTTTCCACGAGAATATACCTTTAATGACTTGCATCCATGTTTGAGGACTGCAAGGCTGTCATCATCGATACCAAAGCATCCTTCCAGAACTAACTCTTCTAGATGTTGTAATTTCAAGACAGATGATAAACATTTAGTTGTAATCTGCAGAACATTAAAGCAGTGAATAAGAAAATATACCTTTTTAAAGTTCCAACCAAAAGTACTTATTCAGCATTTAAAATAGTATGAGATGAAGCTACCAGAATTTGATCAAGCGATGAATTTCTTATTAAACATAAAAAAAAAACCCAAATTACTCTATTGAATAAGCTAGACAGAATTAAGAACAAATCAACAATCAAATTCCAACAACAGAGTAATAAGTCTTGAGCTTGAGACCGAAATTTTGACAAACAAGCCCATGTAACAGAGGAAAATAGAACCCCAAAAAAAAAAAATCAAAGAGGAACGTACACGAAACAAAAACATTACTTACAGGCAAGTAAGAGAGATCCAAGTAACGAATATGCTTGCACTTAACAGCAATCAAACCAACACCAAAATCACCGACCCCCAAGCACCATTTCAAGCAAATGAACTTCAACTTTCTGCATCCGACAGCAACACATCCCACCCCCATATCCGTAATCGACTTACACCTCGCTAACCACAGCTTTTCCAAACTCTTAGCTTCAGCAACAGCTGCCATAGCTGAATCTTTCAACTCCGTCCCGTTGGACAAATCAATCTCCGTTAGGTTCTTACAATTCAGAGCCAAACTCAACAACCCTGAAGTCGAAAAGAGGCGACTTCTCGAGAAATCAATGGAACGAAGACCAGAGGCGCATGCATTGGATATAATGGAGAGAGAGGTGTCGGTGACACGAGAGCAGAGGGTGAGATCGAGATGGGTGATATTGGGGTAGCGGCAAAGGATTGCTGGGAGGTGTTCCTGGCGGAGGGGCTTGAGGGCCCTTCGGTGCTTGGATTCTATAGCGTAGAAGGACTTACAAACTAAAGAGAAAGATTTTTTGTCAAGAGGGTTGTGGTTGAGAAGGTCGAGGATCATGAAAATGATCTCTTCAGAAAGCAGATCAAAGGGGTTAAAGCTGAAGCCTCCAAAGCACTCTTGCTTAGGCTTCTTCATTGTTGCTTTTTCTTTTCCTGAAAGTTTAGAGCTTGGGAGTTTGGGACAAGCTGGAACTGGGAGGGAGAAGAGATTGTGTGTGTTTTAGCCTTTGAGGTTGGAGAGTGAGGAAGAAGAAGAAGGAAGAACGTTTAAATTACGGTTATAGGCTTTGAGATTCGTACATATGATTTCTTTTGTATCGTGTAAGGACGAAATTACCCAGATCTTTTCCAATTTGCTTTAATTAATAATGAAAGAAAAGAGTAGAAAACGGGGACCAGTTGGAGCAAAGACAGATCCGTACGGCAAAGGACAAGAGGGAGTAGGGGAGGGTAATGTGGTAATTGGAGAAGTCATAGTCCTGTTAGCTATCTCTCAAAGAAAAACTCATACGGTGGAGAAGTATGTGAGGAAGGAGAGGACAGATTCAAGTGCGGACGGATGGTACGAATATTGACCACCCAACCAAAATCTATTCCCCTTTCCCACTCAGACTACTACTTTTTTATTATTATTTTAATTTATTAATGGAAATATATTTCACAATAAAAAAATAAAAAATGTATTCATTAGTGGGGGGTGGTAGGAAAATTCGCCGTACTTATTTTGAAAACGATAGTACCAGCCTTACTCAGATAAGAACGGAACCAAGCAAAGTCAAAATAAGAAAATAAAAAGGTTTGAGAAATACGCCACGCCAGGAAGGCTGTGACTCGGACAGGGGCTTTCTCATTTCTTTTTCTGGTTCCAAAATGCCCTTCTCGTGTCTTTCCTTTTCCAATGAAATGACGTTAATGCCTACACCAACCAAGCTCTCCCGTCTTCTCTTCTTCCGCTGATCTTTGCTTCCCGCACTTTTGTAATCATATACGCAAAATTCTATCATCACTTGTCTCCGGCGATTAATGGCGTCCTAGAAATTACGAATAGCTTTGCAGTTTTCCTTTTAAAATGTTGTGAAAATTTTGTTCGGTTGTACGGATATGACCTTTTTACGCTGTCGTAAAAAAGTACACTTTTTTAAAACTGTACGGCCCGATTTTCTACTACTAGTATTTTATTTTCATTTTTCATGCCAAAAAATCCGTGCTTTGACTCATAAACTGGGTATAGAATCAAATGCCCTTAGTCTTTGGGGTACGATTGCAACCTCTTTTAATACTTTTCAAAATTCGCCTAATACAAACAGTAATATATTCAGCTGGACGGAGCCAGTCATGTTATTTAGACAACAAAATGAAAGAAAAAAAAATTCAATTTTGTGTAAACTATTTTAATTAAGGTCTTGTCAAAGTCAAACCAATAGAAAGGGCGCAGGTCAGGTTGATGCGGCATGATATTATTGATGTTGAATTTGTACATTTTGTTCGCCAACACACATTTTCATTTTCCCGTATGGATCGGCCAATTATTTTGTGGCAAACCCGCCCAAGGGTTTTGAATTTGTCCATTTTGTTCGCCAATCCTCTCCGACACACATTTTCATTTTCCCGTATGGATCGGCCAATTATTTTCCCGTATGTACCTAATTCGTTGTCTTAATCAAAACCAAATATTCTGGACATGCCTTGGCACCTGTCCCTTGTTTCTTGGAAATTCATTCTTCTGCACAAAAGAATATTTTTGGACAGTCCATTATCCTTCAATGACTGCCAAAGTGAAAGGAATGTTTTTATTGATTACCCAATACAAGAGAAACTTTATTATATTAAATTATCCCTTCACAGGAACTATATCTAAATATATATCTTGTGAGCTCATGTAATTGTTTATTACCACTAATTAATTATGCGTGAAGGGAGATCATCAGATGAATCTTTTGGTAATTAAGGATACAATGTTTTCTTTCACTCCTGCATGTTGCAAAGGTTTATTCTTGTTTCAAATCACAATATCTTGGATGGTACTTGGCTCCATATCATCAGTGTTAATTCTACTTATTATTTTATACCAGTAAGTATACTTTCCTAATTTCAGTTCTCATCTCATCTAATCATTATACATAGTTTTATCGGCTGCTTGTCATCAAATTGACTACATTTATCAATCGATACTCGTATATTATGCGTAACATAGACCAAATAGTTTCAACTGCTACGGCTGCAATCTTGGAATGCAAGCAAGCAATCTTTTTTTTTTTTTTTTTTGAAGGGTTGAAAGTTGAAACAGATAAATATTTAAACAAAGATAGGAAATGAGTAGCAATCCTTGATGTCCTGACCTTGATGTGGAAAATTCATTATTTCAATCAAATGCATCGTATTTCCCTCTGTTAAAGATGAAAAAATTACATGATCAGTAACCAATATATATATATATATATATATATATATATATATCTACCTCAGATGGGATTCACAGCTAATGGATATTTGTAGAGCAAAGACCAAGTCTACCTAAACTACAGAAAAGCATAGAAGTACATTGTCAATGGAAATGCAATCCACAAATTTATAACTAAAAAGTAACCAGTACCAAGAACCTATATATCAAAATCTAATGCATTGGTGGCAGCTATGAAAAGCAATGGCCAAAGGTTTCATGAGTACATGATAAGTCTAATCCTAAGCACATATATATGATGAAAGAATGTGTCTGGTAAGTGGACCTCTCTTCAATTGTATTGAACATAAAACATTGGGACCAATTAAAATTGACTAGAAAGAACCAAAATGAGCTTTCGATCTAGTTGATCAGCAACTTTACAAATATGAATTGAGATTTCATCTTGTATTTGTAGCCCCAAGTGCACTTAAACAAGGGTGAAAATGAGAGAACAATCTATACCTACTACGCCTGCACCTTAGCTGAGCAGCTCATAAGCCACTTGAGCTTGGAAAAAATTAGGGTTCAGCTTGGCTTTAGCTCAAATATGGCATGAGTTGAGATCACTAATGCATGGGATCAAGCTTGAGATTGTATAGACTCGTTAGTAAAGAACACCTACTTGAGTCAAGCTCATATGAAGCTCAAGCTTGTATATAATGATCCAATCCTGTACATGAAAGAGCTCAGCTTAACTCATCACATTTATACCCCATCACTCCCCTTTCCCCACAATCCTCAAAAGGGTAAGAACATATAAATTAGTTTTAACCCAACGTACCTTACAATTGAGGCTCTTGCTATTTTTCTTTAGTTAAGTGAATCCTATTAAACAAGTCTAATATATATCAGGCCTACATAAAGAGTCCTATAAAAGGGATATGGAGAACAAAAGTTGGTAATCTGAGACTGGCTTAAATACAAGAATAAATGTCTCCAAACCATATAAAAGAAACATCTAGCAGACGATCAGAAATTTAAGTACAACAGTTGCTAGACTATGCCGGGTATTCCTATTTCATCAAAGTCCAAGCCTAAAAAAGAAACAGCTTCATCAAACATAGTCAACCATTGTGAGTTTGTGACAGGAAGAGCTTGTCCCGGTGCTCCACAATCCTGGCAATTCCATTTCTATACAAAACTTGTGTAATTCTAGGCAAATTTGTAGCAAATAATAGGATACAACTAAACTTACATATTATCCAATGCTAGACTATTACAGAAAAGGCCTCAGTCTCCGGCCTAAGAATATAAAATGTTAATATCTAAAATGAGAATAACATAAGCATCTCCAGTATTCTGAGGTCAATTCCTAGCCCAAGAGTCAGGGATGGAGAACTTAATGGTATAAGCAAACTCCCCTGCATAAAAACTTAGGATTCTTCTTATAAAAGATTCGCTGCAGTGAAGAAAGAGAATTAAGCGAAGAAGATCAGAGCAAAGCAATAAGTCACTCACAGTTCTATACATCCAAAATGCAGAGACCAAGTGTGTTATCTCAAGAATCACCCTTCATTTCATCTGAATCTGAATCACTTGCATTATAACCTAATAAAGAATCCCCAAAGCAAACAGAAAATGCAATCAATTATTATACTAGTATTATACTACTACGATTACAAGGTGATGAGGATAGCAATAGTCACAGAGGGGCACCTGGATGCTTATCACTGACTTTCCAAACCGAAGAGCGCATCCTCGATGCCCTTGTCATCCAAATTCTTCCCTATGATCCCAATAGACCAAAATAAAACTTATAAACAAAGACCAACTGGATTGGAAAAAAAGAAAAGAGAGGAGGAAATAAAATCAAGAATCCAAAACCCTGTTGCTCCTTTTAGTTAATCTCGGAAGCTAAGAAAAGAAAACAAATGCTCCAAACTTTTCTTCATCATTTAAAGAATTTTAAACAAGAGAAAAATGACAAAGTTTATAACTTTATTATATATTTGTATTACTTTTTCTTCAGCAATCAAATATAGCAAAGCATAAATCCTCAACCCCACAAGCAGAATCAGAAAGATAAAATCAGTCCCGATGAAAAGAAATAAAAAAAGAAGAAACCTTTTAAGAATCCAAGAAGAAAAAGAAGAAAAAAAAAAAACCTTTTGTGCATCTCGAGGAACCCCATAACCTCTATAGTACATTTGACCAACCAGAACCTGCATGTTGACATCGCCGGTTTTGGCTTCCTTGAGAGTGTCTTTGAACCAATGTTTGACGCAATCGGAGACAACCTCCGAGAGTGGCAGGCGTTGACTGGCACTAGAGCTCTCCATCGTCCCTTTGGACTTGTGCTTGTCTTCACTTACAATTTGTCGGTTCTGCGTTGAGGGTTTTGCGTTTTCCCCCCTGTTGAGATGCTGTGCGGTGGCCTTTGCGAGATGTTGCTGGTTGCGCTCGGTAGCGATTTTCCCCTAAAATGAATTAAGCAAAACCTAAGGGCATTAAAAAATAAAAAAACACTAAATGTGTGGAAGCGTGTCACTTACAAGTTTTTTACAAATCATTTATCAAAAAACTTGCTGGTAGTAAAAATTAAATTCAAGTCTTACAAGGAAAAAGAATAGTTAATAATTTATAATGCATTTTACTCATTTTATTACTATTATTTTTTGTGAGTTATAAAATATAATATTAAATTAAAAATAATTCTGACCAATAAAGTCTTGATTTAGTAATAAAAAAAAATCTTAAGATCTCAAAATTTTATATTCAAATCTCACTATACATGAATTTAATAATCTAATTATATTTTCATTTGTTTTAATTTGTTAATTAATTATTTAAATGTAATAATTGATTATGATTGTAATTTTAAATTTATAATTTTTTTAAAAATTGATAATTTTGTCTTTATAGGAAAAAAATTCATTTAAGCATTCCCCTTAGTTCCCCAAGTTGGAGTGCTAACAAAACAACGAAAATTTAGAGTAGACCTTGTAGGTCCCTTCCTAGTCCCTTCTCAGAACAACATGTATTCTTTAATTTCCATTTTCATGAGTTTTCCTTTACGCTGCTGAGAAAAGGTACTGATTGATTTACAAAGCCACGAAAAATATGTTTATTCCAACCAAAATTGACTATTGAGCCCATCAGCAGTCACATCCATTCCAACACAAACACCCCCCGCGGAATTAATTATCAAACTACATATCAAAATTTATATTTACTGATTTTTCAAAAGCAATTTACACCTTTCCAGATCTTCAAATAATATTAAGACACGGCATTCGACTGGCAGTGCAGTGGAACGAGGCTTGCACGCTGAGCCATGAAACTCGGTTCTTCTATAAGCATTTCACCGCACATTGGATTCCGACTCCGTGAACATATAGCAGGGCAAGTGCCGGTGACTAAGTCCCCATTGTGTGAGTGAGATACACGGGAAAAAAGTCAGAATATTATACACCAACAGAATGAGAATGTCGAGGAAAAGAATACACCAGTGACTAGACCAAAAATATTTTTCCTATTCACTAAGACGGGGAAATTAATTGGCTCAAACATTTTGAAGAAGTAACCACAAAAAATGTGCCATTGCGTAAGATCCTTTCAAGAATCGCTCCAACCATCTTCATCATCATCTTCGTCACTTCCAGCCAATGCCTATTTGAACATAGAACATATATATATATATATATATATATATATATTGAAGATGAACATAGCATATTTTAAGCATTTTACACTCATAAAAATGGGGAAAAAAGAGAAACAAAAAGACAAGGAGAAACATAAACCTGGCGAATTGCATTTGCTTTCTCGAAGATTGCTGCAACTTTTAAGTTGGTTTTAGGACCCTGAATGCTGGGTCTGGTCACCACTGCAGGCTTCAAGTTGAAGGACTGTAGAAAGCCAAAAAAAACCAGCCCCTCAGTTTATCTAACAGATGCATTTCCCACATTTAAAAGAGAAGAAAAAGAATGTCAACTATTAGTGGAACTGGTCTAACCTTGGCTCTTATCTGTTCCAGCAATGAATCTCTTTCATCTATCTTTGGAATGATTGGATGTCGAACCTGCTCAGTTACCTTTCTCAACTGCAGAAAATTCAAACTGTTACTTCACAGGAAGTAAAGCCATACCGGAAAAAATTGAAATGCAAGGCTATAATTACCTTGCTTTTGCCATGAGCAGCAACAGCATCAATAAGAGGATTGCGAGGTCGAGGAAGTTTAATCGTTGGATTCCCATTTGAGTTTCCATCTTCAACAACTGGTAATAGAGCAAGTGTATTTGATGACCATGCTGCTTCTCTCTCTGAAGTTGACAAATTGTCCTGCAGAGTTGTATGTGATGCCAATGCAATTTCTTCCTCAGGAGATGTCAAACCATGCTGAAAGATGGCATCTGATGTCTGTGCAGTTTCTCGTGCTGAAGCTGCCAAACCATGCTGAGGCTGCTCCTCTTCCTTGACTGGAAACAGCCCTTCTACGTTGGCAGGAAGATCCTCTGCTACCTTGGTTCGAATCTGTACCTCTCTCTTAGTTGGTGGGGGCAGAGATATATCAGGAGGATTCTCATGTTCTCCCTCAGAATTTTGTTTGTGGTGCTCACCTTCTAAACCTGTATCCAGTACAAATTGGTTTGAAAGATATGTTGTTTTCTCATCTGAGGATACAGGAATACGTCTACAAGCTGTATCAGTAGCTGGCATAGGCAAGGAGCAACTGGCTTCTACCCTATCACCCTCCATAGCAATGGAACCACATTCAAGGCTTTCAATGGGTATTATGGCTAATGTCAAATATGGGTTTGAGTGTGTTCTATTTAAACAGGCACCATTATATTGGCTATTAGCATTGTAATCAGCAGTTGGCGGGAGAAAAGAAAAAGGACAAGGCTGCATGAAATTAGCAGCCAATTGATCAGACACATTACCAGACTTCTCTTCACCATCCAAGACAGGTAAAAATGGGTTTCTAGACAGTTCAATCCCCTTCTCTAATGCTGATAAACCAAATTGAGCTTTCTCGTCAGTTCTGTATTGTGTTATCATTGGGAATGACTCTTGACCATGTTCAACCAATTCTCTTTGTGCAGCTGAAGAAACATGTTGAACTCTCCCTATCCTCCACTGCATCGGAGGAAGAGGGGGCAATGGTGGCATTGCCTCCATACTAACTTTAGTTGGCTCAGACTGCAGGACAAAGGCAGGATGTATAGGATCTGATGGATAACTTGCTTGCTTATCCTGCCTAACTGATTGTTGTGAAACCTCTAATGAAGGTTGACTTGAAGAGCCTTCTTTGGAATGTTCAAAAGACGTTTGTAAGCATTTTTCCTGATCAACATGATCCAGAGATGGTATCTGATTGGACACGGGATTTAATGAATTTGAACTATCTTCAACTGTATGCAGGCTTCCCACATCATGTTGATTAGTATGGAAGTCTAATGACTGTTCTATAGAAGTTTCTTTTTCAGATAGGTAATACGTAGGTGAAGACACCACTTCTTCCCCACTGTCCATCAGATGACTCAAATATTTCGATTCTGAGTCTTGATCACTCAATTCCAAAGAAGATGGTGCAGTGGTTAAATCAATGAAATTCAAACTATTTTTAGTTAGCTCAGCCAGAGAATCATCCTCTAAATTGGAATTGTTGCAAGTGACTGATTTGCATGAAGTGGAATCTATATCTGCTAGAGCACCTTCCACTTGATTTCTTTCTTGTCGTGTATCTAACTCTATAAGACATACTTGAGAAATAACCTCATTAGATTCCAAAATTTCCTGACATAGCTCCCCATCACCAGAAAGAGACTCTTCCAAATTCATCAGTTTTCCAGATAGAGAACAAATCAAATTTGAAGACTGAAAACTAGTATTATCAACAGCATCATCAAAGTCAGCAGAACCAAAAGCAGCAATGGAAACTGCTGCAATACTTTCAGCATGAACATTTTTAGTTGCCAGATCATCTAAGCCCACATGATCCTTGAGGTCCAAATTATCATTGCAATGAGATGGAAGATCAAAAGGGATAGCATCCCCTTCCACTGCATTCACACTGCAGGTAGATTCCCTAGTTTCTTCCCCCTCTGCAGCATCAAAAAGTTCATCAACATTTTGTTTCTGTTCAGAATAAGAAGATCCTATATCTGTAGGGTCAGCTTCAAGTTGTGTATCATCGTGTAATATGTCTGAAAACTGCCGTTCATTAAAGCCACAAGTCTGTGAAGTCTCCACCAAAGGAGTCATACATTCTGAGTTGAGACCAGCCTCTAAAGTATCATCATTGACCTCCGAAGATAAGTTGACAGGCTTCATAACATCCAAACCTTCAGGTGATAGTATAATACCTGAACTTCTTTCTACTTCTGCCGAAGTTGAAAAAGGGAGTTGCTCCTCTGTTGGTTGAATAACAGAATTTGGTGAACCAATCATTTGGTTGACCGAATTTTCAGCACAACTCTCTTCAGAAAAAGCTGCTTTAAGAACTTCATCTAAAGGATCATTAGCACTTCTCCTTTCAGGAGCAAGCTGTAATATGTTTGATAAATGTAGGAAAGCATCAGAAGAGACATTTGTGTCTCCACTGTCTAACTCATCCACTGGATGGCTTTCAGAAGAAAGACTGATCAAAGAAACCTCCTGTTTCTCAGAAGAATCAACCAAAATGACTTCTGAAGAATCAGCCAGATATTTTCCACCATCACTGTCTGACAAATCAGAAAACTTTTTGACACCATTAAAGCACACCTCATCAAGCTGTGGTTCCGGCAAAGAAACTTCCATTGAACTTGCTTGATCCAACAAAATGTACGTTGAATTCAAATCTTCAAGACATGAACTATAAGATGCTTCTCCAAGATCAGCAAGCCTGCATTCACCAAAAAAGGTATCTTTTGGTGACAAAACCTTATCAGAACTGGAACATTGCATCTCTGAACATGCAGGAAACTGAATGGAGGGTGCCTTGACAATCTCAGTAACACTGTTTTTATCAGAAGGGAAGACTCTAGCTGCTACGTCACCATCTGATGGCACATCTTCAGCCAGATTGTCCATAGTATCAGAGTAGGAAAAACTAGATCTTCCTTTCTTGAACAAGCAGTTTCCACCATCAGATGCAGAGGAGATCCCAACTGATTGAGAATCTGATGAATGGGCTTGGACCTCGAGCTTTTCCTCATTTGCATCAGAACCCGTTCGATATTTTCCAAAATTTATGAAGCCAATATCATTTTTAGATCTGAATTCATTGTCTGTATCAATTTCAGACTCCATGCTAGTAAGGGCATCCATGTAATTGTCAACCTCACTGGCCATGTCATCAGAATGGTCCCCATCTATGCTGCATTCTTTTCTGCCTTCTCCATCTACTATCATTTCCTTTTCAATTGTTACTTTATGAAGGGGAAGGAGAATTCCATCTGTGAAATTAGCTGTTGGATCAGGCATCTTCACAATCTCTCTATCGATGACTTCTCCATTCAACTCTCGTGTGGATGGTTTCAGGACAACTCGTGCAGAAGGTGAAGAACTTGAGGTTTCCTTTCCTTGTGCAGACTTTTTCACAGGACTCACTGCACTAATTTCATGCCAAGATTCACTAGAATTATCCAATGTCGATCTCACAGGTGGTGGAGTACCAGAGGTCTCACAAACCGCTTTACACGCCAGTGAAGGAGTCTCCAGGAATTTCTCCATGTAACTTTTCCCAGATTTTGAGTCAAGTGGAGATTCATTTAATTGCCTTCTTTTCAGTTTTACAAGACGAGCAGGGTCATTGTAAGCATTCTCAATACGCTCCTCCAAAAACAGCTGATGCAATCTGCACTATTAGAAAGCAATTCAATCACCAAGAAACCATATTAAACCTTTAATCATGCACGCTTAATCAACTAGGAGAAATATCTAAGGCAAAGATGCAGAATTCGAGGACTCACTTGGCATGTGATGTTGTTGCAAATTCTGGAGTATCTCCATTACTCCAGCGTGATCCTTTCTTCTGCCAGAAATAAAATATCAGAGACTATAAGGACACAGGCAAAAACACTGTATAGCGCAGCTACCCGAAAATAGAGAGAAAATTCCATGCTGATTGCTAAAACCATGATGCACCAAAAAGTTACCATTCGATGCCAGCCTTTTTAACCAAATAGTTTCACTTTATTGATATAAGAAAGGAAAAGGAATGTTTCATACCGATGAGAAGAAACTTAATTAGTACTTTGATAATATTTGCCCAAATCACTCCAAATGCAACAAGTGCACCTCAAACCGAGTAGGGCCTGAGATATGAAGTGTGCTGTTCACATGAAAGCACACGTCACAATCAAATATTTTAAGTTTGACACTAAAGCTAATCTCCAACCCTCCCACGAGTCTGCACAAACACAAACTCATGGATGCCTATCATGAACTGAAATCGAAAAAGGGTAATTCAACCATAAAAGAAATATTTTTCTCCAGTGAAATTAAAGAAACTGGTCTAATTAAAATTATTGCTAGGGTGAACATCAGTATTTTCCAGGCAGGCTCAAGGTTTTCCATTAAGAGGTAGAAACTTTTGCTCATAGTACAGACCTATCTCTCCTATCTCTCAATCTCTGCAATAAATGGGATAAACTGCAAATTGCTAAAATAACTGCCAAAAAAGAAATCTAATCAGATACCTTCCATGAAAAGTTGAGGGGATAAGTGGCACAGTGACTGAAAATTCAATTTATCAATACTATCGATGGGGTCATTCATACATAGCCTCCCCCCAAAAAAAGTAATAAATAAATAAAGGAGTCACATTTCTGTTTTCTTTTCTTTTTTTTTCCATCAGTACCTTAACTTTACGGGCTTTCTTTTCTCTCTGAACTTCTACCAGTGCAATTCCAGGGAAAGCTGATTCTGATTTAAAGAAAGACGGATCAGTGTAACGCTTTAAGCTTGCCCCAGCACCTGCGACATCAAATCTGGAACAATTCACAAATTATTAGAATCTTTATCATCCGAAAGAAAATTCCTTGCAACAAATTTACTACAGTTAAGATCAATAAAGTAATCTTACTTGTCCAAAAGGAATAACCGTGGTGGGCCCCGACATTCCTCATAAGAATCCAGCACACAGTAAGGTAAGTCTCCTCGAGTGATCAGATTATGTTCAGTGCGCAGATTAGGATGCCAGTCAACACCTGCAAAAACATAATATATTTATTGACCAGCTTAGCAGATAATGCCTTTGTGCATGAAAACTCCAATATTCTATTTCAGAACCAAAAAAAAAAAATCACTAATTACGTCCATCACTGAAAGCTGACTCATCATAAGCCATGATCACAGTTCCCATTTCATTCTTGCATACCAAACATGAGTATTGGAATGCAAACTGAATCCATGCATGCTAATTCCATGAAAACTCCACTGGGAAAAATTCATCAAAAGATGCTTCTTTTGGTTAGGTAAACAAACTTTCTCTTTACACTAGGTGGTGACAGCACATGAGGAAAGAAACTTGTAAATGCCCATACCGTTGGCACCAGGTACTCAACCCCTAGAAACTAATGCAGTTGTTTCAAAAACATATAGAACCAAGTCCCAATAATGCAATCATATGCAGAAGAAATACAAACATAAGAAACCAAAACATATGCCAAAGTGCCCCATTGTGACAAGAAATGATATCCAGAACCCAAGGATAAAAGTCAAATAGTGAATAGAAAAACACATTTTGTTAAGAACATGTACATAAATATGATGACATGTTAGTGTAAAAATGTGTTAGCAAGGAGTCGAATCTAACCTATATTGGTAAAGAATAATGAATGATTGGTTTGTGATAAAAAAGCCCTCTCAATGGAAGAAAACTCCGCCTCAAGTTGTAGGACTCGAGCCATTAGACCATGGCCTCTTGCAGCAGTTGCCATTAGCTCTTCATGCAAGTCATGGAATATCTCAGCAGCAAACCTTTATCAATTTCGAATGAAAGGCAATTTAAAAACAGACAGAAAGTGTTTAAGGAAAAAAAAATCAAATTTGCCATCAAAGTGCTACAACTCCAATAGAAATCTATAGTAAATGTGCCAGTCATACCATGAATCCTGGTCTATAAAGGAATTCCCGATATGCATAGTTGTAATTTGTGTAATGAATTTTTCTTCAAAAAAAAAGGATACACTTTAAATTGAATAGAAATTTCGAATTCTGAGTGCTAAATTGGTGGGTGGCACACGTACCAAAAAGCATAAAACGTTAAATATACCTAGAAACACACCGTTTGAAAAGAAATTTGATCACAAAAACAGGTGACCAATTTCCAAGCATGTCTCAGATTCGAATGGCTGGAGTTAAAATTCCGATTCGATACATATGAGAAAACTTTTAACAGATTCTGGTTATTTCTATAACTTCGACCTTAAAGCAAAAGAAATTTCGTATTAAGCAAACTAACTAACCAAGAAAATTTAACCAATCTGATTAGTTTATTGTAATTTTGTAAATTTAAAAGCACAGCTTCCAAACAGAAATCAAAATTTAACAGCAAGAATTCAGCTCCAAAAACATAAAATTCAAAGCCTAAAAGATTGATGAGCTGGCATATAGCGAAAATTGAAGCTAAAACCAGATAAAATCCCTCTCCCTACCCAAAAAAAAAAAAAGGAAAAAAACGACAAAAAGGAAGAGAAAGAGAGAGAGAGAGAGAGAGAGAGAGAGAGAGAGACTGACTCGGCGAGGTCACCGAGCTGACGCAAAACACCAACAAGGCCAGACATGGCGACGCCTTCAAGTAAAGCCTCAGGATCATCCTTGAAGGCCGCTCTATAGAGCTCCGGATCCGCCAGGCTGAACTCATTCCTTATCTGGTACCTCGTCAACGGCATATCTTTTCGTCTCTTCCAGCCAAAAAGAAGACACAAACCCTAAATTTCTGTTTCTATAGAAAAGAGAATCAAAATCTATCTTGATCTAGAAACCGCATTCAGTTGAGTGATTTTATATACGTTCTGTTGGCTCTTTGATTTTTTTTTTTTTTTTGAAGGAAATGAATGAATATGAATGAAGATACAGAGGAGAGAGACGTGAAGAGTGCGTGGGAGAGAGAGAGGGAGAGAGAGAATTTAATGGCCTTTTTTTTAATTTTTTTCTATTAGTAGACGTATTTTTCTTTTTTAAAAAGCGAGAGGTTTTTTTAATTTATTTTTTGGTGAGAAATGAAAAGGAAAGGAAACGGCAAGCATGCGTTGGTTGCGCGCATCGTGCCGGTTATAAATTATAATGCGCTCGTTGGCTGCCTTGCAATTGGATTTTTTCTTTTTCTTTTTTTTTTTTTTTGTTGTAATTGGAAACTAGTAATTACATTTACATTTGGATTTTATTTATTTATTTTTAATTTTAGTTGAGGCTAAGGGCCAAGGCCAGTAATAAGATATCTCGGGATGTTGGTGGTCCTCCTCAATCCTCATAGCCCAGCTTTCTAAATAATTTGGGTTTTGGTTTGGGTTTCGGGTTTGTATGTAGAGAGAGTTTGGGAAATTGTAGGGTACATCAAGGTAGCTAGGCCTAGGCCTGCCAAAAAACCGTTTATCAGTGGCGATTTAGGTGATCCCGCCCTTCTCAACATCGATCACGTAAAAAGCTGTGTTTGTATTGTAGTGTAGAATTATAAAATCCTAAACAGCAAGTCTTGGAATAATGATTGCCATTGCCCCCTATTTTATTTATTATTAGGGTTCATTTAAGAATTAAACCAAAATAATAATAATAATAGTGTATTAGTGCAGCTGCTCTCTCGAAACAATAGTAATTAAGCTAGGTGTAGCAAGTTGACTATTGAACAGACGAAACAAATGTGGGATTGTTGCATTTTGGTTTCACTCACCCAATCCATAAGTAGTTTTAAGTTGTAAGTATTGTTTTTGTTTATTTAATTACTTAAACAAAAATGTATATATTTTACTAGGAGAGGTCCCACTCCCACATTGGCTTAACTTAGGGAATTAGCAGTTTTATATATTCACCGATCCGTCACTGTGTCAAGAGGAAGATGATTCCAAGTGATATATAATTTGTCTGTTATATGTATATATAATCATGTAATCTTTGCTTCGAAGCTTTGGTTGATGGGGTGGGAACTGGGAAGCTTTCGGTTTCAGCTGATGTATGTACATGTATTAATTGCTATAGCAAGCTAGCTAGTAGCACTTAGGCCTTAGCGGCAATCAAAACCCTTTCCAACGTTTCCATGTCCCAATTAAATATTAGCCCAATGTACAAATTTAAAATTAAAAAGAAAGAAAGAAAAGGATGAAAAATGATGGGCTGCATTGCAAGTCCAGTGGATGCACGTCATGTATAAATTGTGTCATTCTTCAGTTGCTAAGCAAAGTCTGAGTTTGTTAAATTGCCTTTGCCGACTCAATGTAGTTGCAATTGCAGCAGGAAATTAGCTTTCAGTTTAATGGTGATGGGGCCACTCCTTTATCCAACATATATATTCTCCTAGTTGTAAAGACATTTCTGTGTCACCAAACCAACCAAATATCGATGGCGATATCATATCATATGATACATCGTGTGTCTCATGTATGTAACTCAGTAGCCATGTAAACAGAGTCAACTCAGCAACCATACCATAAGCCATGCAACTTCAAGTTGACAGATCCTACCGAGTCAACTCGGTTGACATGCAAACAGCTATCTCAAGATCCAACTGGAAGAAGACGTGGTGTCATACAAGTCAAGAATGGACAGCTAACTAGGTTGACTGTCAAACAGCCAAAGGTTGATATTTTCTCGTACATGTATGTTTTACTTTGTACGAATTCTCTTAAACATTTCATATTCCAGCCTTTCCATATATTCCGTATAATCAAATATGAACAATATAAATATCACACTTTCTTTCACTCTAACTCAACTTGATCCTAGAGTATTTAAACTCATCTGTGTATAACAGTATAAGTCTCTTTAATATCTTTATATACATATTTTTTTAATGAAATAATAAGTATCAAAATAAATTACAATTATAATTAAATAATTCTTAATATACATCTTGTTCTTTCTTTTTTTTTTTAATCAAAATCCACCACCAATTTCAACCAACAATCGGCCCCATAATTAGATCAAATTTACTTATGATAAAACTTTAACTTTGAGTAGACATGATGTATTTGATTTCATAGATTTCATGTCATTTTTGTTATTTACAAATTTTGTGCTTGAATACTCTTCACATCAAGCACTCTTTTTTTATTCTCACGAAATTGCATTTGCCCCGCAATTTCTCATTGTTGCTTCCATCTTAATGCTAGTATTCCCTTTTTTGTAACACCACGCCACATATTTATATCAGGAAGGCATTATACCTAAACTTTCTGTGCCGTGAGAAGATGGTGGGGTGGGGCATCATCAGGCATATGGAATTTTTTTTTTTTTAATTAGTCTTTGAGGATTCATGTTCTTCTTTTTATTGAAAAAAAAAAAAAAAACCCTACTTAACGGTTTTACAGACCGTGGATCAGATTGGGCTCTGAGAAAAAACGGAAGAACAATATATATATATATATATATACACACACTATGGGCAGCTCACAGAATAAACAAAAATCACATCAATAGTCCATATGATAAAAAAAAAAAAAAGTGTTATATCATCAATTAATTTGTAACTTTGTTCAAATTTAAATTTAAATTTTACAATCTGCAAAGTATAAGGACTAAATCTATAAATGTAATATCAAATAGTTAAAACACATTTATGACATTAAATTATGGTAAATTGTCAATAGAATATAATGCCTGATTGAAATTACTGAATGAGTCAAAAGGCTTTTCAGATGGATTGAAAGCATTTAAGAAGATTAAATGGTTAGAGGATTTTTTTTTTTTTGTCAAATATGAAAATGAATTACAAGCTTTAAAAAAATAGCGCTTGAGATGGATTTGATGTCGTTAATGCGATATCCTCTGATTTGTCGAGCTACTATTTTATCCCTATCCACCCCATCCCTCCATCTCCAAACATAAACAAATGTAATTTCTGTTTCGCATTCTTTTACATATAAGATTCTTAAGTGGTTCTTAAAAGTTTTCCTTAAAAATTTAGAGAATAATAGACAATACTAATGAACTTGTTAAAAATAACAATAATATACATGATGCATCTATGTAAATTTTGAGTCAAAAGTGAATACATTTAAATAATGATAGAGTTTTTATTATTAATTTTTTTCTACATAATCATTGAAAGCAAATAGAAGCTTCTATCTTTTGATCATTTTGCAATTAGAAGATCAATTCAGTGTCAAAATAGAAGTTATTATCTTTCCTCACTTGCAAAAGTTTTAGCTGAATCTATTAATTTATCATAACATATATTGAATTTAAGAAACATATATCTATAATATAAAATCTATAACAGGCTATATTATATTTAGCAAATTCACATCTAAAATGTTTCGTTGGTTCCTAAAGATCATAGCATTTAAAAAATAACAATGCTAATTATATTTAACTAACAAAAACTGATAGATTAATCGTGTAATTTGTCATTAACAAATATATACATAATCCAAATAAAACCAAATATCTATTGAATTCATTTTTAAGTTATCGATATAAAATTTAAGAGTTTCATAGCATGCATAATGTAGTACCGATAATTTTGCAAATCTGCATCAATATTTCATTAAGATGGCATAATTTAAAGTTGCAAATCTGTGTCATTGCTTTTGAAAAATTTGTTTCACTTGAAGCAAAAGTCATGGATGCCATTAAACAAGCCCAAGCCTGTTGGATGCGCGTTGTTCTTACGTTGGGAATTTATTCTTCATCTCATCAAAATTTATTATATTTTGAAATTTGTAGTGTACTTGCAAAACGTAACTAAAAGCTAAAATCCAATTTTCCTTTTCTCAATCTCTGCCTCCGCCTCCAAAAACGTCCCTGCAAAGAAGAAGAGCCAAATGGAGGAGGTGTGTGAGGGAAAGGACTTCTCCTTCCCTTCCCAAGAGGAGCACATCCTCTCCTACTGGTCCCATATCGATGCTTTCAGGGGTCAGATGGCTCGCACCCGCAACTTACCCGAATACATTTTCTACGATGGTCCACCTTTCGCCACTGGCCTCCCTCATTACGGCCACATCCTCGCCGGCACCATTAAAGATATCGTCACTCGCTACCAGTCCATGACTGGCCACCACGTCACCCGCCGCTTCGGTTGGGACTGCCATGGCCTCCCTGTTGAGAACGAGATCGACCGCAAGCTGGGAATCAAGCGCCGGGATCAGATTCTGAACATGGGCATCGATAAGTACAACGAGGAGTGTAGGAGTATAGTTACCAGGTATGTGGAGGAGTGGGAGACCATCGTCACCAGGACTGGGCGTTGGATTGATTTCAAAAATGATTACAAGACTATGGACTTGAAATTTATGGAGACTGTCTGGTGGATTTTTTCTCAGCTTTACCAAAAGGGACTTGTCTATAAAGGCTTTAAGGTCTGTTTACAATTACATTCCATTTTTCTTGCCATTGCTTCCTTCAAATTTTGCTTCCTTCAAATTTCCTTCAAATTTTCAGGTCATGCCATACAGCACGGGGTGCAAGACCCCGCTATCTAATTTTGAAGCCGGTTTGAACTACAAGGTACTTTTTTTTTAATTATTACTCTAATTATTTCTACTCAAGTTCGCCTAATAATTTCGTCCTTTTAGTTCTTTATATATATATATATATTTATATTTATATATTGTGTTATTGTGGGCCTTTTGAAAATGTTCCAAGTTCAACACCGATACTATTTTTTTCTTTTGTCCCAATCATGTCTAACAACACTTAAATGTGCAGCTTGTGCCTGATCCTGAAATAATGGTTGCTTTCCCCATAGTTGGTGATCCAGATAATGCTGCTTTTGTGGCTTGGACAACAACACCATGGACCCTCCCTGGCAATCTAGCACTTTGTGTCAACGCAAATTTTGTCTATGTGAAGGTCTGTTGGCTTTCACTTGTTACTTATTTAGGTCATTAGCACGAGATGGACGAGTTGTTTATCATGCCATATCTACTGCATGTTGGGCTGATGTAATAGTTAATCTTTGTTTTAGCGAATACATGATACCGTACCACTTGTTATTTTGTTCCTTGACTCCCACACCCAACAAACCTGTTTCTCCATCATGCTTCCCGTAGTCCTTTTACTTTGTTCATTATTATTTAATTTATGTCTTCTTCCTTAAGGTGTTATAACTCTCTTCAAGCGAAATTGATAACACATTTACAAATAGATTGGATAGTAACATTGAAATGCATGAATATTTTAGCCTTCTTACTAGCACTTTCTTGGTTGATGCATGAGGCATAAATAAGTTGAATCTTCTTTTGTCTCTGAGGACTATAACTCATGGATTGTGGAAATTTTATGTGAGTATGCTTGCTTGCATAATGTAGATAAGGAATAACCTTTTCTCCCCTAAAGAAAAATTGGGTTTTGTAATTAAATTTCAGGTTCGCAATAAGTACTCTGGAAAAATCTATGTGGTTTCTGAGTCGAGGTTGTCTGAGCTTCCAACCGAGAAACCAAAGTTTGATGCTGCTAATGGACCTTCTGGTGATTCCAAGAAATCTAAGACCAAAGGATCTTCAGGTGAAAAAACTAAAGATTCTGGAGCAGATTCCTATGAAGTCTTAGGCAAATTCTCCGGTGCTTCACTGGTGGGGATGAAGTGAGTATTCATGGGTATAGTTATCTTTACATTGTCCTAGCAGGCTTTATAAAAGAACTTTATACAGGCTGTATCCTAGCAGTTCTCTTTTTAGTATAAATTGCTGTTTTGAATGGTGATGTATTTTTACCTGGCTATCCATTGAAATTATCTTGGATTGCCAACAACCGTGTGGTGTGTTGGTAGAGTGCTGGACTCTCAGTTTTAGTGTTTGGACTTGATCCCTGGTAACCTAAATTATATAAAAAATTTATCTTGGATTTATTTGTGTTGAGGATGTCAAATAATGTTGAGTTTTTTTTAAGGGGAGATCTCTAGTTTTCAGCAACTTGGCCCATGTTTCAATGATCCCCATCTGGATGATCTCTAGTGTGCAATATTATAAAGCTACGGTTCTCCACAAGTAGGGAATCGTGTTAATGTATTTTATCTGCTGCACTACACAAAGTACATATAAAAGATTACCTGCAGAGTTGACAATCGATTTTGGCTGCTAGTTATGATGTGTCTAGAGAAAATTAAAATTTGTGACTGTGGCTTTTTGAGATATTTAAAAATGGTTTTGAGCCTAGGCCAGTCTCTTTGTAGTGAGATACTTAGAGGAAGTATATGTTGCAGGTATGAACCATTGTTCAACTACTTCTTGGAGTTCTCAGATGTTGCTTTTAGGGTAATTGCTGACAATTATGTAACAGATGACAGTGGGACTGGAATTGTTCACTGTGCTCCTGCGTTTGGTGAAGATGACTACCGGGTTTGCATTGGGAATCAAATAATCAATAAGGTTTGCCCTAAATACCTTCTCTGGATATATTTTTCTATAGGTATTAATTTCTTTTATCCTTGGATGTATAGGTTCTGTCACATTTTGCATATTTTTCATTTGGTGCTCATGCCTTAGGTAACGATCTTGGTTGAAGGTCTTCTCATGATTAAATACTTTTTTTTTCAAGCTTTATGCTCTGGTTGTCTTTGTGGATTCTGAACATATTGTTTCCCTTATTTGACTACATTTTGATGTTGAAATGTAAGATTAGCTCATGTCCGAATCAGTGTCTAGGTCTAATTCCTAAGAAGGGTTAAGTTCTGGAGAAAATGGTGGGAGAGAGCTGCAGCTCACCCATTCTGTCGTTGTCTATCACAAATATAATTGAACTTTCAGAGAATTGAGGTTCTTGAGGCAGGAGTGCTGCTTAAATTTCCCATGTTTATTTGATTATATTTTTAGATGGTCTGTGTCACCTGTTGTTTTCCTTTATCACAAATGCATTTTGTTATTTTCTTTTTTTTTGAAAATTTAGTGGATAAATGGAAGCATTAGTTTCATTTCTTTCATTCATTATACTGGTTTGCATTTTATATGAACTGAACTAATTTCTATGTATTTATAGTGTTTTATCCCTCAGTTTAACATCGCACCTTCTTTCTACATCTTTTACCATTAATTTATCTATTTTTGGCCTGTAGGGAGAGAATCTGATTGTACCAGTTGATGATGATGGTTGCTTTACTGGGAAAATTACCGATTTTCATGGGTGCTATGTTAAGGATGCTGATAAGGATATTATTGAAGCAGTAAAGGTCAGATTGATGCAAACTTTTATGTTTTTGTTTGGCTAAGTATTAGTTCCAAGCCTTAATTAAGAAGGAAAAGAGGAATATTGTCGAGCATCTATGGGCAACTTCAGATTATTGTTTATTTCCACTTTGGGAGTGCCTGTGCTTTTTCTGATAGCTCCACCTCGATAGGGGGGATCTTGCATTGAATCCATGTCCTCGGATGCAAATTTAAAGTCAGTGGTGATAATTTTTATTACCATCATGAGCAAAAAGAAAAAAGAAGAATCTAGTTGAGATGTCTTAAGATTTGTTTCTCACTATGTTTTTATGCTTTCTGTTATTTTTCCTTAATTTTATCAAGCTCCTCCTTAATTTCTCAGGTAAAAGGCAGGCTTGTTAAGCTTGGAACCTGTACACATTCTTATCCCTTTTGTTGGAGATCTGATACTCCTCTTATCTATAGAGCTGTTCCGAGCTGGTATGTCTGATTCTATTACTTTTATTCAGAAAGAATAAGAATCTCAGTGTATTATACCTTTCCTAAATAAAAGTATAAGTTTTAGACTGGTTGAACTTTTTTTATTTGACCCTCCCTTAATGACTGTTTTACCAAGCCTTGTCTTTAATGTTTTTGCCCAAATCAGCTCATAAAGTAACTTTAGTTGTTGGCTCATTTAATTATCAATCCTTTTGATGGTAATATTCTCGAATACATTGGAGAGGAAATGCTAATTGTATTGCTCAAATTTGAACTTTCATTTTATGCTTATTTTGGTGGGGGAATGTAGCTATATACACATGTGCTTTTGGTTGATTCTTCTGGAACTAGTACAGACGAGCAAAATGCTTGCAACTCCCTTCGAGAGCATTAGTTGACTAGGGTTTCTCGTGGCAAAACAAATTTATCAAATTAAGCTGATGAATGTTGAATTGTTTATGTGCTGTGCATCCTATTTTTTATGCAATGATATACTTAATTGGTAATTAAAAATGCTTTTAAGTTGAAAGGAATCATTAATTTCTGTAAATGGAACTTTATCTTATGAATGGTTGGTAAGTTCTATATTAATTTGTGCATAAATAAGCAATTTTGAGTTGGTGTAAACAATTCACTTCTATATGGGATGGACAAGTAGGCTGCCGACTTTGATGGTTCATGCATGCTGCATTTTTTGCATTGCCTTTCTGCTAGTGCTGATAAAGCCTGTTGGAGTCAGTTGGTGGATGACTAGTTATTTACTCTTAGTGCATGGCGGTTATAGCTGACTTCAAAAGTTGGTTAGAATGCTGCATTTTTTGCATTGCCTTTCTGCTAGTGCTGATAAAGCCTGTTGGAGTCAGTTGGTGGATGACTAGTTATTTACTCTTAGTGCATGGCGGTTATAGCTGACTTCAAAAGTTGGTTAGAATGTGCAAAAGGAGGGAAGACAGTCTAAATTGAGATGTGAGAAGGTTTTAAATGTGCAAAGAAATCGTAGGAAAGTTAATCTCAATGTGATTTAGTAAAACTTGCTGTAGACATTGAAGGATGTGTAATTTTGATTGCATAAGTTCCACATACTCTTTTTGTAGAGGTAGACATTTTAAATTGCTTTGCTCTAGAAAACTCGTGCTTTGAAACCTCATATCCTCTGTATAGTTGGGTAATGCTATTAATTAACTAGTTTTGGTGTTCTTTATTTTCTTCTGTTCCTATTGCTCCTGCATTGCTGTTTCTTTCTCTGTTTTACTAGTTTCTACATTGTGTACTAACCTATAAAGAACTTTTGATGTCTGTATGTGCAAGGATTCTGGAGATCATGCTTTTGCTTCCTAGCTTTCATTTTCTACCCTATTCTAGTTATTTTAAGTCCTGTATCATATGTTTTAGGTTTGTGTGGGTGGAACAACTGAAAGAGCAACTATTAGAAAACAACAAACAGACCTACTGGGTACCCGATTATGTGAAGGTTAGATGACTTTTTTCACTGCCTGTTGATATTCTTTTTTTACTTTTATGAACAAGCTCAATTGGTCTGGTGTAGTGATTCTGTTTACATGGGCCTGGATTTTAGCTTAATGAAAAGCTTGAACAATGCCTAAGAGGCGGATGAAAATAATTTATCTTGTATTCATGTATCTTTCAGACTCTTACCTTCTCATTTTTTTTTTTTTTTGGTCATTTTACAGGATAAACGTTTTCACAATTGGCTGGAAAATGCAAGAGACTGGGCTATTAGTCGAAGTAGATTTTGGGGCACTCCAATTCCTGTGTGGATTAGTGAAGATGGTGAGGAAGTAATAGTCATGGATTCTGTTGAAAAACTTGAAAGGCTTTCTGGTGCTAAGGTTTGGCATTTTTCTCTTCTCAAATTTCCCATGGCTAGGATGTTACTCTCTTTAGGAAGAAAGGTGTCTTTGGCCTCTCTCTGTTTCCTCTCCACATTTGGTTCTCCTTTTCTCCTTGGCTGTGGGCTGTCATGATAGATTTAAAACTTTCCTTCTCTTATTTCATGTATTGGGCGTACAATGCATAGTGGGTTTGTTTCAGCACTGCTCTTGGCCAGTGAAAAAATTTTAAGGATTTACTAAATCTTCCTAAACAAAGAGAAAAACGATATTATGTTATTGATTGAACCCCGTGTTTTCAGCAGTTGACCAATATATGGGCCAATAATCTGGTACCTTCTTATTGCGTTGTTTGAAATTCTAAATGGTGGAGTTTGTTTCGCTTCGTATCTGTCTTGGTACCACCACATTATTTTATTGTTGGGAGCAAGGTCCAGTAAATTTCTTTTTGTATTCAATTTGCTATTGCTTTTCAATTTTCTTTTTCTATTTAGTTCTCTTGGAATATTATATTGTCTACTTTTATACCACTATTGAAAATATTTGGGCTCAACAATATGTATGGGTTTGTGTTTAATTTATTTTATTATTTCAGGTCTTTGATCTCCATCGTCACAATATTGATCATATCATTGTACCTTCTACCCGTGGTCTAGAGTTTGGTGTGCTACGACGAATAGATGACGTAAGCTGAGTTTTGGTTGTTTTGATGCGAAGAGCTGTTGTTATTTTTTGTAATTCATTAGATTCTATGTTGCTGATCTAGTGTCCAACCCTATCTTCAAATTTGATCAATGCTAATAATTTTTTTGACTTGGTTTCTGCTAAACATCTTCATTTGTCAGTTCATTTTACTTTTATGTCTCTATGCTGTATATTCAATTTTTTACGCAGTTTAGTCATGCTGAATTATTTTGGCAGGTATTTGATTGTTGGTTCGAGAGTGGATCAATGCCTTATGCTTACATCCATTATCCATTTGAAAATGTTGAACTTTTTGAAAAAAATTTTCCTGGGCATTTTGTGGCTGAGGGGCTAGATCAAACTCGTGGATGGTTTGTTCCCTACTTTTAGATCTGTTATTCATGATAATTACTGGATTTTAGAGCATACGTGGATCATAGCTTCTCTCTTATGTACTTTGTGCAAACAAAAGGAACAAGCCTCTGAGCTGCTGAATTTGTCCAGTTTCTTTGACTGTTGGTTTTAGATTTCTTTGACATGCGAGATTAATTGCAAAGCATTTTCCATTTTGTTATAACACTATAATGTTTTCTTCAGGGGGAGGGGGGGATCAAGCAATTATAGAGTTTAGATTGCCATCTCATTCAGTTAGTTAACATTTCAATTACCTTCTTAATTGATTACTTTTTTACAAAACTTCATTCTTTTCCTATGACAGGCCTTTCTCTTTTTAATTAATGTTTTTCTTTATGCTGCTTGTACGGTTTTCCAGCAGTGATGTCAAAATTAATTTTCATTTCTTGCGGATTGCATTTATGAGAATACATTTTTTATTATTTGTTTCATGTCATAGTGTCATCAGTTGTGGTTTTCAAATGACTAATCATTTTTAGGTAACAATGTGATTAACTATCTATGGGAATCTGTTTTGATCCATGTTTAACCCTTAAAGAAATTTCTTGAATGAAGTTTTGTTTTGGAATTTTATTTCTTCCATTATACCTTGCAGGTTTTACACTCTTATGGTGTTGTCAACTGCATTATTTGGAAAACCTGCATTCAGAAATCTGATTTGCAATGGACTTGTCCTTGCTGAAGATGGAAAGAAGATGAGTAAAAGATTGAAAAATTATCCTTCACCCATGGAAGTCATTAATGACTATGGAGCTGTAAGTTATTTTTAGTATAACTTTGTTTTAATCTTTTTCTATTTTTTTTTCACTAAATTCAGGCCAGTTTCTCATTTTGGTCTTTATTTATTTCTTTCTAGTTGCATGAATTTTGTTTCACTCATCCGCCACATAAATCATTTTTTAATTCTACAGGATGCTTTACGGTTGTACCTAATAAACTCCCCAGTTGTTCGGGCTGAGACCTTGCGTTTTAAAAAGGAAGGAGTTTTTGGTGTTGTAAGTATTTTCTGGGCATTATTAGATACCAGATCTTGGGTCCGTAGAGTTTTGTATCATCTCATCATTTCTTTATATTTTATTTTGGTGTTCTTTTGCATTTTTCAGACTTGCATTTTCCTTGTCTCTTATCTTGATCTCTGCTCAGGTGAAAGATGTCTTCCTCCCATGGTATAATGCATATAGGTTTCTTGTTCAGAATGCAAAAAGACTTGAGTATGAGGGTTCTGCCCCATTTGTTCCTATTGTTCTCACTGTTCTTCAGAAGTCATCTAACGTGCTCGACCAGTGGATAAACTCTGCAACCCAAAGTCTTGTTCACTTTGTTCGTGAGGAAATGGATGCCTATCGACTTTACACGGTTATATCTATAAACCATCATAACCTTTTCGGATTTCTTTAAATATATATATATGTATGTATATATATACACATACATATATATACATACATATACATACATATATATACATACATATATATATATATATATATATATATATATATAAAAGAGAAACCTTAAAGATAATACGAAAGTCAGTTTTGAAAATTGGTAACATTTTTCTAGATTCTGATATAGATTGCACACTTTAGTTGTAATTTGAGCATTCAGATTTGTCATCAGCTTGGCAACTTTGACAGCCAATACCAGCTTTTTAAGATTTAAGAATTATGTGTGTTACAATAGTGATGATGAAAGAGATTAAATTGGTTTCAGAAGTTGTAACTACTATGCTACCATTACCTTAATATGTTTCAGATACTTTTTCTTAATAGATGCTATGTACCATTTTGTTGTACATCTGTTATGTCACATGGTGATAGAACTAAAAAGCATATATATGGTTACATTTTTTAGGTGGTTCCGTATCTATTGAAGTTTCTTGATAACCTTACGAATATATATGTGAGATTCAACCGTAAGAGACTAAAAGGCCGTACCGGAGAGGAAGAATGCCACACTGCTCTCTCTACTCTCTATAATGTATGGACCAGTGTCTTATTTTCATAATGGCAACTCATTTTTTCTAACTGATATTGTGTGTTCAGCAGCAGTCATATCCTTATGTACATGCTTAGGAATTTGTACTATGGTTTTAGGTGCTTCTAACTTCATGTAAGGTTATGGCCCCCTTTACACCGTTCTTCACTGAGGTTCTTTATCAAAACATGCGAAAAGTTTGTGATGGAGCGGGGGAAAGCATTCATTATTGTAGTTTTCCTCAAGAAGAAGGAAAGGTATCGTTAATCTTTTCTATAATTATGCTACTATTGTTTGGTATATGTAACTCATTAATGGTTTATTTGTCAATGGCTTCATGGACTATTTGCTCCCAAAATTTTCTAGTTGGAGTTTTTTGAGAAGTATGGACATTTATTTTTTTAATTATAGATGGTGTATTATACTCCACTAGATAATTACTTGGCTGCTTTGTTGAATTAAATGCCATTGATTTCTTAGAGAGGGGAGCGAATTGAAGAAAGTGTGGCAAGGATGATGAAGATAATTGATGTTGCTCGTAACATTCGTGAGCGTCACAACAAACCTCTCAAAACACCTCTCAGGTCTGCTTATAAGCTATCTCTAGCCTCATATTTCTCTTATATGTTTCCGCTCTTTCTTTACTCTCTTGCCCATTCGTTCTTTGTACTTTAGGGAGATGGTAGTTGTTCATAAAGATGAAGACTTTCTTGGTGACATAGCTGGCAAACTAAGAGAGGTGCGTGAACAGTGTGGAACCTTTAATCCCTTTTTCACTCTTAGTTTAATGAATGCCCTTCTTTCTAGTGATCCTCTTTTTATCCCATGTGGTCGTTATCTATACTTAAAAATTCTTTTCAAAGATGCATTCAAGGCCGATTATCAAGATTGTTTTTTCCTGTCATTCCTGGGGTTGTAATCTTTTAATGTCCTTGTAGTTTGTACCACTTATAGGAACTACTGTTTTTCTTCTTTACTGCTATGTTTTTTTGGGGATATCCAATGGAAAAAAAGAGAAATAAGGTAAATAAACAAGTCCTCTGTTGTTCATTGCAGGTTGGTAAATTTCATTTTAGCTGTTGCATTTTTTTTTTGGTTTACTATCCCTCATTATATACATCCATCAGATATTTGGGGCATCATCAGTGACTTTTGCATTATTACCTTAAAGTTTTGGGAAACTTGCTGAATTGAAAGACAGCCCTTGTTTTGGTTCCTTTACATTTTAAAAATCTAAGTTTCTTTTTCCAAACTGTTTAGATTTCTAAGGAGTTGATTCTGTATGTTGATATAGGAAGATTCTTTAAGAAGGAACTAGACGTGAGTCAGATGTTTACAATTTTTTCCTGTAACTTGATGGCATTTAGAAGTAGAATTGATGCAATGAGATGGTTAATATTATTTTAAACACCCTCCACATAGTTCAACCTCCTTCCTGAAATTACTTATTTCCCTTTGGGTGGTGTGTTCATCCAATTGAAATAAAAGTTTAGTGGTTGGGAAACATTTCCACTGTTCTCCTTGTATCTGATTTTCCTCTTCATCTTTTTTCCCCATGTTCTCTTACTGTAGTATGTATTGGAGGAGCTCAATATAAGGTCTCTTGTTCCATGCAAAGACACTTTGAAGTATGCTTCTGTACGTGCTGAGCCCGATTTTAGGTATGCAATGAATTTTTTTAGGCAACAATGTATGATTCTGTAAGTGCAAAGCCTGATTGTATAAGGTCTCTTGTTCCATGCAACTTTCCCCACTGCCCCTCCGTGCCTTCTTTCAAGAGGAGCAGGCGAGGGTACAGAACTACATTTACCAAATATTATTTGCTTATTCTATTATTTCTTGCAGTGTATTAGGTAAGCGACTAGGGAAATCTATGGGAGTTGTTGCCAAGGAAGTCAAAGCCATGTCCCAGGAAGATATCTTAGCTTTTGAGAAAGCTGGGGAGGTGACTATTGCTACGCACTGTTTGAAGCTTACTGATATTAAGGTATGCCAACTTATACTGGTAGGTTAGTTAAGCATAGCTTTTTATTGAATCTCATTTAATGTATTTGTTAAAATTGTTTTGCTCTGTCTCTTTGTTTAGTTTTTGTGGTGATAGCATCACTTGAAACGTTCTGAAATGATAAATGTTTTCCCAAGTGGGCAAATAAGAATGGATTGTAGAATTTTCATGGAGATAAGTGACTAGCTGTTTCTTGAACTGCTGGCTTTTGTCTGTGCTTCTTTACTTTCTTGAAATAAGAAGTGGATGCTACTTCCTCTGTGATTGCTTAAAGTTTCTACATTCATTTGATAATGGTCGTATTTAATTGCTTTGCCAACAATGGTGTTTGATGTAAAATATGTTGTGTAAATAAATGTTTTATTTGTTTCAAAACTGTTCAGCTTGTGTGGGAGTTTAAACATCCTGATGGCATGACAGTTGAAGAGATGGATGCTGCTGGAGACGGTGAGGACTATTAATGACATTCTGATTGGTGATTTATTTCTATTGAAATGGAAAACAATCTCTCCCTTCCCATAAAGTGATGTGACAAAGTACTTTTTTTTCTCAATTTTCTTTGTTGTAGGTGATCTTTTGGTGATTTTGGATTTACGTCCTGATGAGTCATTGTTTGAAGCTGGTGTTGCACGTGAGGTAAATAAATCATTGTGCTTGTGACACCATTAATCCTAATTCAAAAAAATGTGGTATCTTTTCATCTTCTCTCATTTCTTGTTAGTTAGCAAATGTGTTTGTGGAAATATGATGACCTATATTGGTTGATAATGCCAGATTGTGGTTAAGTAAATTTGTTTCTTTGATATGGGGAAAGCCACTTAAAAGTTTATGGTAATAAATTCCTTGGAAGTGCCAATATTGTAAAGCTATTTCTGATGCATTGGACTCTTTTAACTTAATTTATTGTAGGTTGTTAATAGAATTCAAAAATTACGAAAGAAAGCTGGCTTTGAACCAATGGATACGGTGGAGGTCTATCTTGAGTCCTTGGATGAAGATAAGTCAGTCATCCAACAAGTTTTGAACTCACAGGTAGTTTGCTTTTTTTTTTTGTTGTCAAACAATTTGTTAACTTTGCATGTTCTCCTTCCTAAGTTTGCTGGAATGAGAATCTAATAACAATTTTTATGAGGACGTTTGCTCTTTGTCTGATATAATGAGTAATTTACCTTATATATATATATATATATATTTGGTAATGGAACCGCATAAGCATCCTAGCACCTGTGCATGAGATAGGTGTGAAAAAATTAAGAAATAAAATTATGTGAATAACTAAAAGTAAAATTGAATGTATATTGAAAAACTGCTCATAAAGAATTATACAAGCACCTTAGGTTTATATGCAACTAACTAGTAGGTAAATTAGAAAACTAAATCTTCCTAAAACTGATCCTATAATTGAGAGATTATCTATCCTAATTTTTTGTCCTTAATTCTAGGGATACAAATACTATTCTAGAGATACAAATATAAATATACAGTTTATAAAATTACACCCAGCTGTAAATGAGTGTTTTCCCACAATAGATAGTGTGTGAGAAGAGAATTTCTGTGCACTTGCATCATATATTTGTGAAAGATTTTGTCGTCTGAGGGACAGTGCAAGTCCCTCCAAATAAGGCATGTGATTTGCATTAGTTGACAGGCATTCTGTTGCCCATCTTCTCATAAATCTTAATTTGCAGTGTGCTGTATATAATAGCTTAATGTTGTATCTTATGGCAGGAAAACTACATTAGGGATGCAATTGGATCTCCATTGCTTTACTCTAATATGATGGCACCGCATACAGTAAGTTTGATCAGTTTGAGTTTGAAATACCTTAATCCTGAATTAGCTTCTTTGAATTTGGTTGATCTAAAAAGTATAACAGCAAACCAATGTGCTTAGGATCTTTACATTCTGAGATGACGTGGAATGCATGTATTCCTAAGATTAGTGTTATCTAATGCTGTAATTTGCTATATGCATGTACCTGAAGGATTAAATTTCTTAATCCTGCCTTAGGTTCTCATTCATTTCAAATCCTATCTGGTCGGTAAGCGATACAGTCAACAGATGTGTGTTAACAACTAACAATTGAGTGTTCCTATTTGCATTGATAGGATCCTGTCTTTCTTACATTACCAGTGGCTTTAAGCTTGTAACTTTCTTCCTAATGTATCCTGTAGATTTATGCTTGCAGTTTATATTGGAGATCTGTGCTTGCAGTTTATGTGTATACAATATAATGGTTCTGTGTTTGTTTCAAATGAGATAAAATCTGTAGTGAACATACCTATGTATTTTTAGAAAGATATTACCTCCCTCCCCCACCCCCCCCCCCCCCCCCAAAAAAAAAAAAAATCAACCTTTTTCCATTTGCATGGCAGCAGCTTTTAGTCAGTGAGTGTGCTTTTAGAATGTACGGGTTTCTTATTCTATTGTTTTACTTCATAAAAATTGCAGGTTGTGCTTTGTGAAGAGAATTTCGAAGGCATTTCTAACATGTCATTTAAAATAAGCTTGGCTAGACCTGCCCTATTTTTCAAGTCAAATGCTATTGTTGCAATATGTGCAGGTTAGGCTGCGTTTTGTCAAATCATGTTTTGCTGCTGCCAAGGTGAAATGTTTTTCTCTCTCTGATTCCATTAATTGAATGATTGCAGGAGATACCAAATTTGCACAAAGTCTGCAGAGTTACCTTCTATCAAGGGACTATTCTTGTTTGAAATCCGAGTTTCAACTTGGACAGGGCAAGGTTGGGTTTGCTTATGAATCGTAATATACATCAGTAATATTCTAGCAGTGGTTGGCCAGCTACATGTAGCACCTTGTCTCAATTGTTTTTCATGTTTCCTTTTGCATCGCAGATGAAAGTTGATTGCATTGAAAATCAGCCTGCAGTGGAAGTGACACTGGGAGAACACGTATTCTTGACGGTGGGAGATTACTACTTGACGGCAAAAAAGGGCTGTTGATATTCCTTCCACTTTCCATTGCAGGGGATCAATACAAATTTACACAAACCTGACAGCATACGCTCATAGTAACTTCTCTGTTGTACAGACTACAGATAATAAAATAGAGTGAAAAACATTCTTATTTTGAAAAACTAATGCAACTTTTTCATCGTATAAACATCATCAGCGTGGTTGCTGTGAAGAATTGTAGATTTTCATTTTTTTTTTTTTTTTGGCATTAAGGTCTTGATGTTTGCAGAAAACTTTTTTTTGGATTATCGACTTTTCTTTTTAAATCCACATGCGAAAGTATCAAGCTCAAAAATCATATTTACCATTGGCTAATTTGACTTCACTTCTTTCATATTCAACATCGTTTGCTGACTGGTCTGTCACCTTCTCTTGAAACTTTAATTAAATTGAAATACGAGCAATTAAAGTCATATAAAGTGTTAAATTTTTTTACTGATTGATCATTTGAGTTATTATTATTATATTAAATAAAATTATTTAAATGATAATATGAGATAATTATTTGTCTATTTTAATAAATTATCCATCAATGAGATAAAAGGTCTTGTAAAAATTCATCATATATAATATAAGATAATATATTCACAAGAAAATATTATTTGTTTTAATAACAAAATTTTACTTTTAATCTTGGTTTTCTTAGTGTAATTCCATCGGTTTTGTGAAGAATTTCTTCGATCGAGACATTTCTACATACGAAATTTATTCTAGTTTCAAAGTAGTTAGAATAAAAAATAAAACAAGTTAATATGATGAAAATAAATAAAAAATCATATTTATTATAAAATATACATCTACCTAAACCCACTTTCATAATACACATTCACGGATGGGTTATGAAAAAAAATAATAAAATAAAATAAAATAATTTTTTATATTAAATTTGATTATTACAAATAAAATCACAATATTTCAATAATTAATAATATATACATTTCACTAAATTATCAAATATATAAATTATTTCAAACAAATATAAATCTTAATAATATATAAATTACTTTAAAATGAGATAGCTATTAATAATATATAAATTATAACATCGAATCAACATAAATAATTTTAATTTTTATAATTATTATTAAAATTTTAAAAATATTAAATATAAAACATCTATCAAAATATATATAAATCTTAATACATATCAAACCTAAATTGACAAATATAAATCTTACACATTTAAAAATTAATAAATCTATAACAAAACCTAATAAATCTCAATAAAACTTTCACAAACAAAAATAAATAACTCAACAAATAAAAAAATTCTCCACTAATATTAAAAATAAATCTAAAAAAATTAACAATACTCAATGTTAATACTCAACAAAAAATTCAACAAAAATATATAACTAACCAATTTTAACAACTATATAATCAAAATCCAAATAAATTTTAATAAATATAAAATCAACAAAAACTCAACAAATTGCTAAACAAAACCCAAATAAATTTTAACAAATAAATAATTAACAAAAACTCAACACATTGATAATCAAAATCCAAATAAATTTTAATAAAAAATTAAATCATATCCTCAACAAATATATTACATAAAATACAAAATAAAATAAAATAATTAAAAAAATTACCGAAAAGAGGGGACACATTGACATCTGTTAGCGCACCTGGACAACAATGGAGAACAACGTGGCAGGGAGAAAGGGAAGAGAGAGAGAGTGTGGGAAAAGAGAGGGAAAAGGGATTTAAGGATTTAAGAAAGAAATCAAGCGAAAAATAAGTTATTCGACAGGGAAGATTTAAAAATTTTTTACTTTTGGTGACGATTTCATTTATAAAAATTTCTTCGATAATATTAAAAAAATTTAAAATACTTTTATCAACCATTTTATTGACAAAATTTTCATCGATAACATTAAAAAAAAAATTTTTAAATTTTTTTATCGACGAAAGTTTTTGTCAGTAACTTTTATTGACAAATTTATCAATAGAAATATTTATTGATAAAATTGACAGTAATTTGTACCACATTTTTAACGATAAATTACTGATAGATTTAATTCTATCTATAAAAATATTTTCTTTTTAAATTTCATCAACATTTTGTTAATAATTAGCGATAAAAAATTTTTTGTCTAATGTTTAAAATTCTAGTAGTGGCTTGGTAAAAAGGGTTTCGTGAAATCTTTTTTGCAATCTGTCTTTTTACACTATGTCATGTTTCCTTTTCCCCAAAGGTTTGTGCCAGAAACTGAATATGATTATGGGAACATACTAATTGAGTCATAATAAGGAGCATAAAGGTATTCATTAGATGACCTGGACAAAGCTTTGCAAAACAAAGGAAGTTGAAATGGGGTTTCCAGAAATGGTAGCCTAGTGCGAAAAGGATCTATGTATAAAAAATTACAAAAGCTATATATATATATATTTACAAGTGAAGGACGGTAAACAAGAGAGAAGAGATAAAGTGAGAAAAGAAAGGATGAATGAAAGGAATTGGCCTCATCGAGCTTAGATACAATGAAGCTTTAAATAGAAAAATTATAACCTATGAATAATAATTTTGTACAGTTACCATTACAGTATACAATAGAATTTTATCTACAGTACTACTACAATGACTTGCTACAGTGTCTTTCGCAGTAGGTCTCTATCTTTTTCTGCTACAGTGACTGCTACAATGATATTTTATTTGTCTGCTACAATGACTGCTACAGAATTTTTTGTCTGCTGGTTGTGGGCGCCGAATGTAATTTATCTTTTAGTGTCGGCTATTTGTTTTGGCTTATCCTGGATTAGAATATGCACAATCTTATCACTCCATAGCATTGTTTAAGTTATGAAATTCTTCATCAAGTGCGTTAAGAGACTGGAAAGATTGAGAAGATTCAGAATGTGTTTTGTTCCACATTTGCCATCCTTGTTGATACTAGTATAGTAACTTAGTTGGATGATCTAGATCTTCCATGTTTGATAATTTTTTCAGTAGCTCAATTGCATCTGGAGCATTTTGTATATCAAGATCATCATGTAGTTCAAAAAATCTGATAACAAAAATACGTCTACCATCTGTCCAGCAAGCTATTTTTGGATAGTCTGATTTTGTGGCTAGATGGAGAAATAATTTTACTTTGTCCATAAGATCAGTTCCTGTTTGGATTGGTATATTTAGGGATAATTTTGTTTAAATCATTTGAGAACTCGATATGATCTGTAGGTGGATCAAGTATATTAAAGGGTTGAAGAAAATGTCCACCGAAAATTGTATCAAATTCTTATATTTAATAAGGTTGGTAAAATCTTTCTCTTTGAAAGGTACCTAAAAGACTATATATGATAAAATGAATGTAGTAAAAATGTTTTGACCATTTTACACATTCAATAAAGCGATGTTTTATAAAGGCCGAAAAAACTTTTAAAAGGTGAAAAGAAAAGTTTTGTACATTAATCTGTCCGACTAAACAAATTCAATACTTTTTACATCAAAGGTTTCATGATCAAGTCAAAATTTAATTTTAAGTATATATTCGATAAAAGAAGTATTATACATATATGTAAAAGTATAATAATCAAAAAAAATTTTCATCAATAGGTTTTCTGTTGAATGTAAAATAGAAGAATTAATTTGTTGGAATGATTCTTTGGTTAAGAATGTTACAGTTTTTTTAAAAAGAAGAATTCTCTTAAGCTTGTTTAGCTTAGAGGAAACATAATTTTTTTTTCAAAATATTCATATAAATTCAAGAAATTGTTTATCTCTTAAAGACTGTACTGATTTTCTTTCAAAGCAAAGAAATCAATATCTTGCTGTTTTAGCAAATTTGTTGATATAAGACTTTGGAAAACTATTTCTTTGAAATTCTAAAATTTTTTAGCCTGGTTGACTAAGAACTTAGCTAATTTGATCATCCATTTTTGAAAGCTAGATTTGTTTTCTGAAAGATGGGATTTTCGAACATCATTTAACAATTTGTAGACTTGTGGTTCAAGTCCAGGGTTATAAAAATCTTTAATCTCTGGGTTAGAGAGTTTTGTTCTTTCAAGCAGTTGTTCTGTTGAAGAGACTGTTTGCGAATAACTCATAGGAGTCCATTCGTTTGAATCTTGAGCAAATTGAAAAATTTCAGGTTGAATTCTCATGAAATGAGGTCTATAAAATGGTTGTTAGTAAAGATATAATCCTTGGTTAGGATTAGTGTAAAAATTAAATCCTGGGTTAGGATTTGTAGAGATAAGAGGTCTTGAAGAAGAATGAGTAAAAAAAAAGAAGAGGATCTTTTACCTGTCTTCTTCTTGATTGTTCTCAATCCACCTGTATCATAGATTGGTTGTTTTTCTCGATTCATGTAGTCGACTCAGAGAATCTACAAGGAAATTTTTATCTCTGTTGATGAACTCTACCTGAAAATAATACTGACAAAGAAAGTTATACCACCTAATTCGCCTGGGATTATCAAAAAGCTTTCTATTTTAGAGAAAGTTTTTTACTGCTTAATTATCTGTTCTGATAACAAAGATCTCTGGGACTAAATAGATGTGAAAACGTTGTACACTATTTTTTATGGCTAATAATTCTTTTTCAAAAATAATATAATTTATTTCATTCAGTTTGAACTTATCGAAATTGTAGCCACAAATCAATTCATCTTTTTTATGTAGATTTTTAGCTTTTAAGACACATCCCTAATGTTCATCACTGGCATCTGTCTCTAAAATAAGTAAATCACCTTGTTTAGGTAGATAGACTTTATGTATAGTGGTTAAATCTAATTTAATCGGTTTGATAATATCAGAATCTTTGGGTGTCCAGACAAAATCATTATCTTTTCGTAATTTACGCAAAAGATAACTTTCTCTTTTGAAAATATTTTTAAAAAATTGCCTGCCATAATTGAGTATACTTAACAGCTGTTGTAGCTGTTTGACATTATTTAGTTGTTCTGGAACTCTTTGATCTTTGATATAATGTGATCCTGCAATGTTAGTCCATTTGCAGATAGATTAAGACCCAAAAATTCAATTTTTATTTTTTCGAGTTCAACCTTTTTAAGATTCAAAATAATACCATATAGAATAAATTCTTGAGCAATAAGATTCAGGTGTTTCCTGTGCTCATTAAAGTATTTGAAAATACTAAAATATCATCAATATAAACATAGCAAAATTGTTTATATTTGCTAAAAATACTATCAATTCAACGCTAAAAAATTTGAGGGGCGTTACATAGACCGAAAGGCATAATAGTCCATTGAAAATGACCTGATGGTGCACTAAAAGTAGTTAAAAGTTTAGAAATATCATTTAGCATGATTTGCCAAAAACCTGATTTGTAGTCAAATTTAAAAAAATATTTAGCATTTTTTGCTAAATTAATTAAAACATCTT